CAAAGGCACTGCTAACATGATATTTGGAGGTAATGTTTACCCTGTTCAGCATCTTAGCTTAGCACGCTAATATTTGCTAATTAGCACTAAACCAAAGTATTAGAGAAATCAAAATTAGAATACCTAGAGTCATGCTGCTAGCACAGCTAAAACTACATCTGTAGTATAACCATGTAACTACCATTCAAGTGCAGCTTTTTGCAGCCTCTGATTGCTTTAATCATCTTGTGATGCTTCAGATTGATCCTGGAACCCATTTGGGGGTGCCCTCCAGTTTGGGAACCACTCTGGTAGATATTATGCTCTTTCATGGGGGACACAAAAACGCATTAAGAAAGTCACAGAGCTTACAACCCTGAAAATCTACCGTTTGACCAACATGTCTGAAGAATCATCAAAAAATGTCCTAAATGTTAAATGTAATGTCGTTTAATCACCCCCAATGGTTGCTGCGCTGGTCGCAGAGTCAGGCAGAGATGAATTCTTGTCAAAGGCTTCAAATTCATCATGCTACTGGGCCACCCACCTGCAGAGTCACATAAACAAAGCATGAATACATCACAGCTGAAAATCTAATTGCACCTGGAGAAGGCGACATAAGCCATAAAGATGACACAAAACATGATGTGATCTGGTCCAGCTTTGAAGGCAGGACTGAAATTGAAAATATAACCATGTCAGTATTATTTGTTATCTGTGTTGGCATATTGCAGTCTTCAACTTGGAAAATAAAACATGTCCATGGCCTTTTTTTCTGCCTTTCTTGTGGTTCATTGACCTGATAACTCAAACACACACCAGAGTGTGGTACATCAGCTTTAATGCCACACTCGGTTCATTCATACCACAATTTGCTGCTTAATGAGCTCATCAATCAGTGGAGTGGACAAACAAAATCACAAGAAACAAACGAATCAACACATCCATCCTTCACAGTTTGGGAAGTGGCCGGTTAGCTCTAGATAAGGTGAAGTTTATCCACTGTCTACGCACATCATGTCTGAGTCAGACAATGACAAAAGAATCTGGCCTGCAGGATATATTCACTTTAATATGAGGCTAGAGAAAGTGGGGAGGAGCAAGCAGGGGGACTTTATAAGAGCAAGCCAAGACCTTCACTCAGGACCAACGCACTCAGTGCAGAACAAAATACAGTTTCTTTGGTTTGATGTTATTTGGCTCCTGTATGCATCCAAAGCGGGGAAGTTTTTCTTGACCATCTGCAGCCACTTTTATTTTTGGCACCCTTAGGTGACGATGGAGGCTCTGAAGTTTGTAGTTGTGCTGCTGGTGGTCGTATTCGTGCAGGTTTTCGGCGCGCTGGGGACCCCGCTCTCCAGTGAAGAAGAAGACAGAGAGATCTGGACGGTGGAGGACTGGCAGGTAAAAAAAATAAGAATTGGAGATGGATTTTTTTTAAGCTTTATTCACGCTAAACAGCAGAGTATTATGCATGTGTTATTTTGAGAAAGGGATCTACGGGGAAAATCCTTCAATCAAAGTTTCTTTTTATGAGATTACTTCTAACCTACATGTGGTGTTCTCCACTATCATATGAAGCCATGTGTTCAGCTGAGGAATTAGATTTAGGTGAAATCTAAATAAATAAAATAAAGTAAAGGAACCTCCCTTCTTTGCTTTTCTTTAATGAACGCACGCACTTAAAACTGGCACTCACATATCAGCACCGCGGAGAGCAACACACCCAGTCGGCGGCATTAAAAATACTGTCTGCTTGCTACATTTTTTGTTAAACTTTTACATTTTTACATACAGTCTATGGTTACATTAGGTACCTCATGGCTGCCAAGCGATCTAAGTAGAAAATCAAGCAGTTTAATAAAACGAAAAAAAAAGATGAAAAGAACTGAGCAAAGTATAGCTAAGTTTATTTGTTTATTTATTTTTAAATATTTGAGATAGTTGAGTAGTGGACTGCGGAAAAGGACGGTCAACTCAGAATATATAGGCTATAGCTTACTGTCAAGGACGTAGTGGGGTGGACACACAAAGTCAAAGGATTTTCTAACAAAAACCCTTCAAGGTTTGCTAAAACTATTTTCTGCATTTTACATATTTATGTCCGTGCCTCCAGTCTTCCTCTCTGGCTGCAGGTAAAACCTCCACCTATCAGAGGGTCGGGCAGTGGGCTTTGCTCAGCCCGTGAGGCAAAACCCAGGGCAAAGAAGGTGCTGAGGCCACCAGCTTGTTATAGCTGCGGCGCTGTAATAACTGAAGGCGACTCAGAAGAGTGTATCCCCTCTTCTCTTCTCTCATCTTCATTGTCACAGCTGAAGAAAATATTTAGAGAGATTTTAGTAGGTAGACTATATTAAAGTGAAACTACAGCCTAAAAATGGGTCTAAAAGGGACAGAAAATAACGAACAGTAGCCTAATTACATCCTATACTCTCCCAGTCCATCAGACAGCAGGGACTACTTACATTGATGCACCAAACCTGCAGTGACTCATAACTGCCTTTATGTGTGTGTGTGTGTGTGTGTGTGTGTGTGTGTGTGTGTGTGTGTGTGTGTGTGTGTGTGTGTGTGTGTGTGTGTGTGTGTGTGCAGGGCTACCCGCTAGAGAGAGAAATACCCATCCAGCTGGTAGACTTCATCAAGCGGTCCAAAGCACAGCAGTTCCACGGCCTGATGGGAAGAAGCTCAGGTAAACAAACAAGTACATAATAGTATTTTGTGGAGATTTTATGGTTGATTTATGGTGTTTTTTTTAGAAGCTATATTGTAACCAACTTTGTGATATTTTTTTTATTCTCCAGTAATATCTGTAACACTCCTACTGAAACTTGTGGTGTCCCTACAGTTCTTTATTATTCCTTTGCTCCTTTAATTCAGGCACATCTCAACCTGTGAGACTTGGCAGGAAAAGTGAGTATGTTTACACTATAAGGAAAGGACAAGAGTGATGTCTTGCTTTTCTTTTTAGATTACCCCCAAGTGTAAGATAATCATGATTATCATCTATCTCTGTCTGTCTCTCTTCAGGAAATAAAGGGGAAATGTTTGTTGGACTCATGGGCAAAAGGAGTTTAGGTGGAGGTAATGCAAACTCCTCAATGCAGTTGTAAAATTCCCGGAAATGTTACTTTGGTGTAATTTTTTCAACCAGTACTATCTTAAATATTCTACTTTAAGATTTCGCTTTTTTTAATAGTATTTTTCATTATGTTCTCAGATGTGAATATTAAGAGTTAAAAACCCCATCTTCATTGCTTGTGAAAACGTCATGGCTTAAGTAGTGTTTAATATTTTGCTCTCTCTCTCTGTTTCAGATATGGAAGAGGAATGGAAACCTGACTCTTATTAAAGATGAAAAATGAAGCAAAAACAAAACATCTTAAAAACCATAATCAAAGCTCTGATTCAACTATGATGTCCTATTCAGTCCTCTGTTGTTGATCAACAGGACATAGCGTGTCACGCAGTCTGACCAGGACAGATCGCCTACACACCTGTTGCAATTATCTGAAATGAATTTGAGCTGCTGCAAATCACTGAGATCATCGCCTATCCATTGCTGCTGAACTATAATCTATATTGTTATTGACAACATTTAAAGCTATGTACATGTAACCCTTATATCTTTTAAGAGAGTTTGCTTATTTCAATCAAATCCATTAAAGCTTATAACATTAGCTAAGCGTGTCTTTATTATGTGGAATATTCAGTTTCATCGGGATGGACCATCATGACAATAATTGTTGGGGAAAAAAATCATGCTATAATTACTCCGCAGAGTAATAAAGTAATGGCATAATGTTGCAAATTAATTAATAAAACCATATTTTGTTGACATAGTTGTGTGCACTTGCTTTTCTGATGATAAAATGAATACATATTTACATATTTCAAATGTTATATTTGATGAAAAAGTCTCCTGCAATAGCTATTTCTTTACATTTAATTACTGTAATTATACATTGGGAAAAGGATGCCTGCATCAGGGTACTCAAGTGTTTTAGAATTCCACTACCATATTGGAGACTGACAACAGACAGATTTAAAAAAGCAGTCATAACTAAAGCATAACTCCAAAATAACCCACATTTCCCATAATGCAACTCATCAATGTCTCTTTGTAAACCCGCGTAAATGCCCATGTAACTCCAGTGACATCACTATGACATCATCAGGGTTATTTTCTCAGACTTGACTAAGCTTGATCAGAGCCATAGAAGACACACCTTTTTTCACCTGGTGAGTAGTGCTCCTCATGACGACTAAGCTGATCTTTATGTTTAATTGGGCCCTTCAAAGAATCAGTGGTGTTGTGCATGTTTTAGCACATTCACTACAAACTACTCATTGACCATTTTCCAGTATGAATGAACTTGTAAGAAAGTAAACTTTGGCATGAGTCAAAAAAAACTTCCTTGGTAGAACTCAGAAGCTTTGTATTAAAGTATCTTGTGATTCTTAAGTTCTGACTGCAGTCACTCCTGTTGCAAAATAAAGCCTACAACCATGTCTACCCACAAGTCCCTCGCTAAACCACCTAATCAGCCAATAGCAGGCTTCCAAAGGTGACGCATTATTGCTGCATCACAGCTCACGCACACCTTGTAATGTATAAGACTACCCATCATTCAGTGTGTCCAACACTTGCATGCTTCAATATATTAAAAACAGCCATGGGGACAGCTGCTGTAAAGCATTTTTCTGTTGCTGTTGGGGATTTTATTAATCCAGATCTTAAATTAGGTAAAGAAGGAAAAAGTGAGCACATTAAGTGACCAGTGAAGAAGTTTAAAAACGTACTCGTTTTAATTTCTTCATTCGTCTCTTCCTTTAAACTCACCAAAGTGAACGCATTCCACAGTTTAGCTAGTGTCATAATTATTACAACTTTTATTAGATGTAACAGACCTTGTATCTTGTAGTGCGTAGCTGCAACCAACATTCCTTATTAATGACCAAACAATCCTGCTGTTGCCAACACACAAACAACAACAACAAAAAAAAAAAACAATCAGACACAATGTGTTTCACCGTTTGCATTTATTGAAGAGGAAGGAAGGGGGAGAAGCAAGTACAAAAGCACAACTGAGCTACATATCGATGCCACGCTACTTTTGTGAGTGTCTACTTTGAGTGTGTAGTTTAAATAGGATGCTGGGTGCGTTGAAGTGCTGCGTTACTACAACAGCTCGCTGGTGGCCTATGGAAGGTGATGGAATGCCTCTAACAGTGACCCAATGCAGATGTGTTAATAACCAGCAAGGCGCTCTGAAGCTGCCTATCTATAGCTGCCACTGGCACAGAGGAAAAACTGTGACACAACAGGATGAAAAAATAAATGAGAAAGAAAAATGAAGAAGAAAATCCCTTTCAGAGACTTTCACAAGCTTAAATACGATCGGTTTGTGATGTTAGACTCTTTCCAGGGGTCTTTTTTGACAGTGTTTTAATTCATGGTTTAATGAAACTAAATTGAATTGCCAGTCAAGAAACAAAGTACATTCAGTTCCTTTTTCTGTTACCGTGAGAAAAGAAAATATTTTCTCTGCTTATTATGGATTTTTTTTTTCTTGTATGTTAAATCTTAGTACAAAATGGCAGCCCTAAAACGACGCCCACCCTCTTTCATTGTGAGGGCCCAAAACCAAATCCGCTGATTACTTCAACCACTCCATCATACCTATGCAGGTAATATTTCAACATAACAAACACAAAAGTACAGTCAAGAACAAAATTGGCCCAGTCATGTAAAGAACATCATCATCAAGAGCTGTGTTTTAGGATGAAGTTTCCCTTTAAAGGTTGTTCAAAAAGTAAGTGCACTTTCCTGTAAATGCACTTAAGAATTGGCAAAGACGGAAAAAAAAACCCCACTGTCTAGTCGTAATTTCGGTCAGTAGCACATTTCAGGGAGTTTTTTTGAGAACAGGTGCTAAAAGGATAAATGTCATCCTCTGAAATGAATGGGCTGTATTGATTTTAAGTCTGCCAGTCAGTGACGGGACTCCTGAACCCCTTCGTGTGAAACCCAAATGAAGACAGGAAAACCAACCACACGGTTTAGAGAAAATATAAACATGCAAACACACAGACAAATTAATCCACAGATGGCAGAAAGAAAAACATCACTATAAAAAAGACATTATAGAATTTAAAGGCAACATTGCTTTTTCTATGAAATAAGAAAATCAAATGAAACTCAAGGCTGTAGTCTGTAAAGGAAAACAATTCCTCCACATATGAAACTGTAACACAAAAGCTACAAAACAAAACAAAACAAAAAACATTCAACATTTTTTTTGATTCAATCTGACATTCTTGGCCACACACCTCCAATTTCACAGCCAACTGCCGTCTAAGCGTACGCACAATGTTTAAAGGAATAGCTTGACATTTTGGGGAAATACACTTATTTGCTTTCTTGCCGACATTTAGATGAGAAGATGGATACCACTCTAATGCGGTAGCTACATGTAAGAAGTATTTGTAGCTACTGCCAATAGCTGGCTAGCTTAACTTAGCATAAAGACTGGAAACAGGGGGAAACGGTTAGCCTGGCTCTTTTCAAAGGTAACAAGATCTGCCTAGCAGCACCTGTAAAGCTCTCTAACATTTTATAGCTTGTTTGCGTAACCTGTGCAAAAACTGAAGTGTAAAAACAACTTAAGTTGTTTCACAGGGAGTTGTGTGCTAGAAACAGGCTAGCTGTTTCCCCCCTGTTTCCAGTCTTTGTGGGAAGCTAAGCTAACCGGCTGCAATCTAATCTTCTCATCTAAGTCACTGTCAAAATGTCAGACTATTCCTTTAACAAATCCTAAAATCTGGTTACAAAATTAGAAAGTTGATCCAAATCAATAAATATGGAGATTGTCAATAAAATAAAATCAGTTTTCAATCAAACATAGTGGGCTATAAAGAACAAAAAATAATACAGAAATGCTGTCGACCTTGCTTACTGGTCCTACACAAAAAGGTTGTGCTTGTATTTTCCTAACTGCTTGTAGCAGCAATTATGGTGGTAACAAGTAGTGACAATGTGCAAAAGTGATACGTTTTGATTCAATCATACGTCACTTTCGATTACAGGAGATTAACGTCTGAAAAGTAAATGACTTGGCTTTGTTGGTGGGAGGATGCCCTAGATTCTCCCTAATGTACCTTTTTAAAGAGCTTCTAGACACATTCAAATCTACACACAATTTTGAGATAAATATTTATATTCACAAGGAAGCCGGGTCCGATAGTGTACACATTCCTCTAGCAGACTTTGTCCGTACGTTATACGCAGTTAACATATTTTTTAAGAATATAAATAGCATATATTTATATATTTAAATCTAGTTAAAAAAACAACAATAAAAGACTTGCTGGTCGAACACAGCTACATAGTTTCCCATATTAACACACACAGAATAAAAAAGGAAAATAAAAGAAGCTTAAAATGGGCTGTTCTAGCTTTTATACAGTGGTGAACCTTAGAGGTAGAAAAAGTATAAAATATCATTGAGAACTTTAACAAAAACACCACAACGGACACAGCAACACGTTTGTGAGCTCCAACGCTCCTAACAGCTGAAACTCCCCATGCATCTTTACTGTTCTGAATATAACAGTGGACATCATAAATCAACACAGCCGTCACTAGGATTAAAGGTTAAAAAAGAAGGGAAGAGAGGTGGTCACAAAACACATCCAGGTAGGTCCCATCCTGGTGACATAACATAACACGCTCCAAACACGGCCAATGGCAGCTATAGCTTCCTGACTAACCGCCTCACTGGTGTGATGGGTTAAATACTGGACACAATGTGTGTATTTGTTGCACGACGGAGACACACGGAGTTACTGATTTGCTCTGGGTTCAAACAGCCACAGTTAGAAAAATGTTTGCACGCTCTGGCCTGTCTACCATTCTTTACACGAGAAGAGATTCTCTCCAGGAGGTAAAAGATCTGGCCCGAGACCAGGTCCCTGCAACTCTTCATACCATTTCAAATGTCTAAAGACATTTTAATGACAAAATTGTAAAAACGTTCTGGACATCATTTACATGTGAAATGAAAATATAGTTTATTATTTATTAGGAAAAATATCCTCCGCTTTCAAATTTTCTTTTCAACTGAAAGAAATGATCAAATTAATTTTCAAATCTTTTCCAGTCTGCTGGGGAACGCTGTATTTAGTCATGTGACCTGGGTGTTAAATCGAGGTCAGATCTAGAAACTTTATGTATTTTGGGCTCAGGCCTTATCCTGTTTAATCACAGCTGGCTGGTTTGTGTCTGCCAAAACGCGTTGCATGAGTCAGCGGGCTGCCGACCTGCGTTGTGTCGGCCGTCTCGAGAACAGAATGAAATGAAGCGCAGGTTTAATAATACCAGCTGTCGCAGATTGGATTAGCCGGGTGTGCCTGGTGCTCTGTGCTAATCAAGTGTCTGGGAGGAGGTGGACTAACGACGCACAATTACTTTCACTCTTCAGATAACAAATGAGGTTGAGGAGATATCAGCGGTGATCCTCCGTAGACTGACATCACCGGCTGTTACGTTTCTCATTCATTTGAATTTTAGTCACGCTTTACGTAACAATCTTAGTTGGAGCCTGAAACCCAAAATATAAACGATGTATATCTGCTTCTCTTCTATGGAAGTGTTCAATATTAAATAAATAAAAAAAATACATTATGAATATGAATATAATCACATAAATAAATTGAGTAAAAATGATAAATGAACCAACAATGTGTGAAATAACTGAAGAATCTTTTAAAACTCAACTTATTTTAATGAAATGTTATTTCATCGTTAATTTTCGTAACAACAGAATTTTATTGAATATTATTTTTATTACATTCTATTTTCTTTCTGCCCTTTTCTCCCTGAGTTTGAATCATTTCTTAAATTATTTACAAAATTACCGTTTAATTTATATATTTTACCCAATTTATTCATGTGATTATTTATTTACATAACTATTTATTAATTTAAGTCAATCGAACACTTTGGGGCTCCATACAAAAAAGGTAAGTAGCCAAATCCCAAAAAGCCGTAATGTAATATATTACTGTAATTTTAGGGGAGTCAGAGCCAGTGGAACACGGTTGTTTATTCAAGGACATCTGAAGCAGCTATATTGCAATAAGGCTATACAGTACATCTTTTTAAACTATTTTAAGCGTTTAGTTCAAATGAAGCCCTCTCTGATCCCTTGATGGCAGCTTTTAATTTATGCATTAAAAACATTCCTTATAATTCATTTTGCCTCATTTTGTTGTAATTTCATGATATATCCAAACAAAGTTTTCCATTCTGGACAGGCATCAAATCGTTGAGCTGATGTTGCATTTTTTTCCCCCGAGCCATGACAGTGACTGCTGAACCCAGAGTAACGGCTGACTCTGAAAGGGACTGACTGTAGCTGCTGAAAGCTTTTTGAACAAGAGTGTGTGTCATGATTCAGACTCGGGGTCTGTGAGCATGCCAGTGTACGGAGCAGAATCTGTCTGTATATGTGTGTGTTTTGGGGTTTTGAGTGTGAGAGGGAGCTCCCCTACGTCCCTTTAGGCGGTGTCCATTTTAAGGCTGTGGGGTCAATGGTCTTGCCATTACCACGTTTGGTCTCCTTGGCCTTCCAGTCATCGATAAGGTCCTACAGAAAGAAAACGCACCTACAGTTGTGTAATAAAACCAGCTGGGCAGAGTAAGTTTCTAGCAAACAGACAGTATCAAAGAAATTCTGACTTTCAAATTCAATAACTTTGTTTCCTACCTGTCTCTTTAAAACCAGGTGCTTCCCCTTCCAGTATTTGAGCATCTGGAGGGATTGCAGTGTGCTGACAATATCCACTGGGTTCACCGCCGTCTCCTGACTGATCTCTGCGAACACAAGTGCGGGACAAGAAGAGGTCAGAATGATGGGATCAGGACTGTCTGATTACGAAGACTAAAGAGTCTACAGCCACGCTCTGTGAGGCTGCACTTTAATGCTTTGAGCTAAAGGTGAAGACTTCTCACCTGACTCTTAGCAAGAAAGCAAATTATTTAGTTCCCCAAATGTCAAACTACTGCTTTAACATGTTAATATTTAGCAGATATAATTCTTACTACATTCACCATCTTTGTGTTACGTGCTAATTGGCACAATATTTGCACCTGATGATGGTTCTAGCAGAAATTTTGAACAGAAAAAAACCTCCAAAAGCTCAACAAAAAGGAGGACAAAAAGAGCCTTGGACAGGAGGGAACAGAGTGTGATTACTGAACTATTCGCTGTTCTGTCACGCTGTCGTGGTTGCTGCCCAACCCTGGAGACAATCTATTGTTGAATGTTCTGCGACCTCTTTATTTAGTGTGATTTTTGAATTGGAATTATTTGTTAACAGTAACTCATACAAAAGTGCAATATTGTGTCTTAGTTGTCAAACTGATATTATCTTACACTCTACAGTGCACACTGTGGTACTGTGTGTATAATTAGTGCTGTCAAAATCACGATGGGTCAATGAACATCTAAGATTTTAACTGCTGAAACACATTTCTCAGTGAAGTCTAGAAATGATTTTTGATCTTAAATCAGAGTTGGAAAAATACATTTAAGAGGTTAAAAGGTACCATGTGAAGTATTCGAACAATTTGTCTATGTCGAGCAAGAACACGAGGACCCCCTACGCACGCAAGAGACAGTGGCCGATGCAAATGGGACTTCCTGTGATCGGTTTCATGTTATTTCGTTGACTGATAGTTGGTGAAAAAAACGCATATTGAAACGGAGCTATTTATTTGACAGCACCGACCTGTCACTGCCCTTAATAATGCATTACTAAGCCTTAATATAATTCAAACAGGTAAGTTATATGGAGGGGTAAATAGGGGTAGCTTCTGTTTTTGTACCAGGCTGTAAACATGTTAATTTCTGCTGTTAAGTTGGGCATTTGAACACTGGGATCTAAGCCAGAATTAAGTGGACATTCAAAGAACTGCACTTTTTGGTACTTTTACGCTGGCTTCATTTTTCAGCCCCGGAGGTTTCCACTTAACAATGCACAATTTAATATACTGAGAAATATTGTCTTTTCAAATGTTTTAAGAGGAAGGAAATGCACTGGACCTCAAGGATACACACACTGCGTTTTGGTGAGAAACACTGAATGTAAACACAACTTTTGTTTGTTTACAAGGAAAGTTCACACGGCAGCGTTAATCTTTTTCAGACAACAGTTTGAGGTGTCTGGATGAAGAAGAAGAAAAAGAAAAAGCTCTGATGTCACCTGCTGGTTTGTTCAAAGGCTTTTACATGAACAACTTCACTAAATTATGTCAAAACAAACGGCGTGTTAGTGGCTTGGCTCTAGGAATGGGAATATCGCCCGGTCCACCAGACTGAAACGGGTACTGGATGGATTGCCCTGAAAGTTGGTACAGTCATTTGTGATTCCCAGAGGATCAATCCTAGTGACTTATGAGTTGTAATCAATTTTGGAAATCCCTTGGAGCTTCATCTAGTGCCATCATCAAGGCAAAATTTCAAAAAGACATTTCCATCATCTATTGTGTTTAGCACTAATGAGAAAATGCTTAGCATGATGGGGAGCATTATGTCATTGTGAGCATGTTAGCCTACTTACATTTCACCCAAAGTAAAGTAACTTAATGTAAGTGCAGCCTCACAGAGCTGCTAGTGTGGATCTTAAGTCTTGTTTTTGTTTTCATCACAGTAGCAGGGCTTTTCTCTGGGATGGATACAACCAGTAGAGACCAGACTGATAAGCAGGATGTTCCCTCAGTCCTCCGAATGTGTTTGGGATGACCCAGTTTTTCACAATTTTAGGTCTTGTGTGCAATCCACCTGAACACTGACTTGGAGTGGCCTCAGTGCTCTCTGATCCATTCACAAAGGCGGACATACATGAATGCATGCATGCACATATTAAAACACACACACACACACACACACACACACACACACGTACAGTTTCAAGAATTGTTGGGGCTTTCAGATTCCTTCTGATATTCCACAGTTTCATTTATAGGTTTGGCCTCTAATGAATTACTTGGCCCAACAACGATTCTGAGATGCTTTCTCTCTCCCAAATTGTTCCCGATCTCTTTCCAACATTTTGGAGAGTGTGGTTCAGTTCTAACCTTTGATGGAGATCTCCTTGCCCTGAAAGTTGTTCAGGTAGCGCAGCAGCACCTCCTTCCAGTAACTCCGGTAGCTGATGAGGCCCAGGTCAGACAGGGGGCGCTCAGGTGAACCCACCTTCTCCTCCACCTTGGACAACAGGTAACCTTAAAACACAGACCAGATACAGCTTTTTGTTTGTCTACGCTCTTCCTTAAGCATCTAATTCTCCACTGAGAAATAAGAATACAGCAAAGCAATATAACAAAAGAGTGTGCAGGGTTTTCCTCAGAAGGGCAAGTGTTTCAGACAGCCTCTTAAATCTGGTGTTATTGTGCTGTGCAGAATCCCTTGGCCAGGGTTAAGTTAATGAGGCAAAAACACACACATACAAATACACACTACTGGGTGTCTGTACTCACTGAAATCTATGAGCATCTTGCCGTAGCCCTGCCTCATGTACTGTGGCATGGTGAGGATGCAGGACACGTTGTAGTTCAGGAAAGAGTTCTTCTCCTGCAGAAGGAGAATAAAATCCGTCCACACGGGCGTTTGACTGACATGGCTTTTTCAGGGTTGATATCAGTACTAATATTTTGTTTAATTTGATGTTACTGATACTTTAAGCTGATGTATTTTTTAGCAAATACAAATACTACACTTAGGCTCCTTAACTGAACTGGACAAACTCTGACGGTGTTTACACAGAATTAATCGTTACATCATGTCCCGTGGGCAAATGCAAAAATCTAAAATCTCTGCGGTTCATAACCAGGTCTCAGTGCATATTAACAATTCACCATCAGACCTCCTACATCTTAAAAGAAAACCACTATCTTATCCAAATTCACCTATTATCTAGAGTTACTTAATATTCTCTCACTTCCAATAATAGCTTGTGAAATACTCTAATCTTTCTTATCTGGGAAACACTGTAGTGTATAGGTAATCTAGCTGAACGCAAGAGGGCTCTGCAATTGGCTCCCAGGTTACCTTGGAGAAGTACCCCACTAGATGGCACCCTGTGTTGTCAGCTTCGGTCATGACATAGAAGAGGAAAGGTTCAACGTCGTAATACAGAGTCTTGTGGTCCAGGAAGAGTTTCGCCAGCAGACACAAGTTCTGACAGTAAATCTGTGAGGAGGAGCACCACAGACATGATCATTTAGCAAAGCTTACAAGAAACACAGTTGGCTAACCTCACACAGACACATCTCCATCGCATTAGGTCTTACATTCAGGCACAAAACTGGGTTCAAAATGGTCAGAGACACAGGTCATGGTTCAAGCTGAAGAGGTAACAATACAGGAAACCTACCAGAATATTCTTTTACTTTCACAGCCAATCACAGAAAATGGACTTGAAGGTAGCATCACCTCTCATTAATGCTCATGCTGATGACCTCGTCTATAGGAGCCACTGTAGGTGTCAAAGGGCCTCTTTTCTCCACAGGGGATAAACACTGGTTTGACTTTAGAATCATAACACCGTAATCTGAATGAATTTTGAGTTTACTGTGATGCCACATTCAACTAGAATAAACTATATAACTAAAGCCAACTTAATGAAAAAAATATCTGTGTCATGAACTCACAAAGACAAGTGTGTTACCTCTGGCAAAGTATGAAACTCCACAATGAAAGCCATTTCATTTACTACAGTATTTGTAAGAACAAGTTCTCCCACTCAGACAGCTGCCTCAGGAGGAGCAACATGCTCTGTTGACCTCCTGTATAATATCTCTCATCCATCTCTATGACCGTCACGTTTCTTGACTGCTTTCTATCTAACCCATGGACCGCTTTGCTTTAGCAAGATATTTTATCTAACTTTATCAAACCATCCCCTCTTTGTTTCTGTCAAAGTACAGTGCTGCTCTGATGACATGTCACTGGCAGCTGTATTCATATTCAAATTGTTCGGTTGTAATGGAGCGAAATAGGTAGCCCTTTATAGCACTGATTATGCTAATGACCAGATGTCACAGACCCACACCTTCTCATGAACAGGAGGCGTTCATCAAGTTGAAAAAAGCAATTTATGACTACATTTGTGCAGTTAAGAGAGTTTGCCAAGTGTGACTTGGAACACTTGGATGAGAAAACCTTCAGGAAAAAAGTAAGAGAGGCTTAGGAGAGTACCAAAATGTTGCTGCATGAGGCCAAATGATTCCTCAACCCTCTAAGGTGAAGGTCAGGAGGAGTTGCGCAGCGCTCTTTTACCTTGTTCTTCTTTCCGTCCACCTCAAAGACTGAGATGTTCCCCTTCCTGTAGATCTCGTCACCTGGAGGGTGCTTCCACACGCACTTGGCCTTTATGCAACAGAGATAAGAGGAAGCAGCAGAGGTTAGCTTATAAACAAGTTAGTGAAACACTTTACTTTTAGTTTCACATAGTGGTCATTAAGGACAAAATAAAACATTTTTAAAGGTTGAATTCACATCTCTAGTCTGTGAGCAGGCTTAGGAGGAAACTCCAGTGATTTAGTTTTGCACTAAGGTAAGGTAAGTGTTTTTTAAATGTTTTAATCTCAGTAGACTGTTCTTATAATGAATAATCTAATACTCTTTCTAATATTTGCTCATTTTCAAACGTTGCCAGTCTGCTACAGACAACAGTGTTGTGTTATGTTTCATTGACAGCCTAGTTTCAAACCATTTGCCCGGTGCGGTAAAAGGTCCTCTTCTCAGAAACGGAGGGAACTGTATCAGAGGGGCACAGGTCTACAGTCTATGGTCTATCTAAATAGAGTCTGCACTGTTTAGGAATACAATTATGAATCGCCTCTGGCATTGAGATAGTAAGGTTATAGTTTGAACTAAGGCAGTAGCCCAGACTCACTTTGTGCCACAGTCCATTTTCACTTTAATGAATCAACATCGCTGAATGGAAGCTTCGGTCTTTTTGGTTATCGTTTAGAGAAATCACTGCAGAATCTGCAGTGATTTTTGAAATGTGGGATGAATAAGAGAGCGAGAAAACTGATGATCAAAATACTGAAACAGAAAAATGCATCTTTTAACAGGACCGTGTTTGTTTCCCAGTTTTTCTAACACATCATCTCCCCAGTGGAAAGACTAACACATTACATACTACATGTGAATTTGTTTTCATTATACAGGACTGTTTGGTATTAATACTAAGTCATAAGTGTGTTTAATGATGAACAGTGTATCAGCAGACTGAATCTGTAAAGTGAATCTTGAATATTGAAGCTACACGAGACAGAGAAAGAAAAAAGAGAAATTAATGCGATGAATGAGTCAAACAAAAAGCTGCAATGGTAAAACGTTTGGTGTATTGCATTGGATATAAATCTGCCATTGGATATGCAGATGGGTCAAATATAGTGTGTATCCAGGAGGAATTGCGAGTAAGGTTTTAAGACGCACAAAAAAATATACTTGCTTTAAAAAAAAAAATTACACAAATGCATTTGCCTGAAGTCAATTTCTAACTCTGACTCAACTAAATACATTATCATAGAATGTGAGAGAAATCAATGCCAGCATGCATTTTTATTGCTGCATCAAAATGACAGCAGACCAGTAAAACCATGAACGGTAAACTGAGATTTTTGACACTTTTTTATTGCCATTTTGTGTCAAAACACATTGCATTGTGGGAATGTTAGCAGACAGTACCACAGGGGCCTAATCTTAAAGTCCCCCTTAACCCTAAACCCTGAACCCTCACAGACTTAAGTGACAGCACCTGGTAAGTGACTGAGTGCAAGAGGCTGCAAGGGCCCAAAATGCTATAAACAGGAATGGGACAACACTTCGCCACATTATCACTTTACCTTGACGACGCTGAAACATGTGTAGCACACTATTGTGGGTTTGGGACTTTTTATTTTACATTTTTAAACTTTCTTCACCGACTGCCTGATTTATACTTCTTGCAGGCTCTTGCCCTGCAGAGTGGATGAGAGGTAATTGTCAATAATATATCTATAGGCTATTTGTCAATATTCAATGTACTATTGTTGGTCAAAACAGCATCATTAAGCAAAAAACATAAAAAAAATAAATAAATAGTGTAATAAACTAGGTGTGTAAAAATGTGATTACATTCCTCTGATTTCATGGGTTCTATGTACCATCTTAAATCCATGTTAACGTCAGGGTTGTTTGCTCCTTCCATGCTCGTTTGTTTACTGTTCTTCTTTCTTCTGTCATAAGGCTTCTGGGCTCCCCTGATAACCCCCTTGTTTCACATCACAACACTATGAACTGTGAGCAAAGTCTGCAGAAATGTGGACTTAAGAAAAGGTTGCATAAAGGGCTGCGACACAGAGAGCCCTCGCACACTTGACGGTGTCGGACAGCCTCACAGACTTACCAGGAACTCGCCTCAAAGTCTGTCAGTCTGTGAGTGTGGACACTGAGATAAGGCCAGGGTTGAATTTAGACACAGCCATTCTCAAATATTTTAAGGACCTACAGATGCCTCTATGAATAGGGAAAGCTGCCTCACCATGTGCCTGCGCAGAATGGTCTGGCTCTTCATATACTTAAGGCAGAACTCGCACATATAGAGCCTCCCCAGGCGGGCGTATTCCTCAGGGTATGGAGAGTGGTACCAGGTGTCCAGCTCGTAGCGACCGAACACAATGGTCCTTATCATGTTGCTGCCCTCCGACACCTGGCCGGCCAGGCGAAGCTTCTCCTGTACAGGCCAGGACAGGAGGGAACGGGAGAAGGGGAAGGGAAGTGAAAAGTAAAAAAAGTACAAAGAAGAGAGGGCGAGCAGGCAGAGGGAAGAGAGGAGAAAGAGGAAAGATCTCAATTAATCAGGGAAGAGGATCAGGTACACCAGAGATCACTTAGGAATACCTCAGCGGAGGCAACCAGCCACAAAACAGTAGAATTTTAAAAATGAGGAACAAATAGAAAAAGGTTTTATACGAAGGCATAAAACAAATTTCGGGAAAAAAAATCTGTTTCATTTCTTTTTTGTTGACTGCAAGGATTTTAAGGCATTTTCAGTGGCAAGCAGAAAATAAGATTTGAGTGAAAATAGTGCACCTTTGGTATCACAGTTTTTTTTTAATTCTCTGAAACATAATCTAAGGCCTTGAATCGGGATCAAGTGAATTAAAGATCATTTAAGGCTAGCTGCATTACCACACTCATGATATGTGAGTTGGAAGGAATTAAATAAAAGGTATAAAGTGTTTGGCTACGTGGAAGTTATCCCTATACTGATGTTATGATTCCAGTGAATATACATTGTTGAACTGGTTAATGAAAGATTATCATGGATGTATTGTAAGAAAAGTTTTTCATTTTCCAGCACATTATGATGTCATAGTGACATCATAGACCCCACTAAAAAATCTGTTTGAAGCTGTGCCAAATTGTAAGAATATTTCAAAATGAAGGGACGACTTTCTTAAAACTTCTAAGAAAGGCGTCCCTTAAATATCACGTTGACGAGAATGGGATGTACAGACGGACGGGCAACCCAAAAACATGATAATAATAAAAACAAACACAGAGTAACAGGAAGTGATTGTCCAAACTACCAAAAATATCTCAGACTCCTCCTGTGGCTGCAGAGGAGAGTTTGCTGACTGAAACAGAGAAGAAGAGGAATAATGCAGAAAAGGGGGGACAAAAAACAGAGGGCAGGAGAAAAGAGTAAGGGGCGGAGGTGGTGATGAGTTTTCTCTCTTACAAGGTCGTCCGAGGCACGTGCCTGCGCTTTCCTGAACAGCTCGAGGTCGTAGTCACTGGTGATGTTCTCCAGCAGCGGCTCTCTGCTTGCTCCGTGGCTCTGATGGTGCTCCTGGCAGTGGGGGTGGGGGGGGTCGGAGAGGGAAAGAAGAAACACTTTCAAAATATAGAATTAAGCGGAGTACATTGACATTGAACACACATTCCTTTCTCACCCTCTTACCATGTACTTTTCCTTCTGCTCCTTATTGAGGCCAGAGTTCCTCTTCCTCCTCAGCTCAGTCACCTTCTCCTTGTAGCGCAGCTGACGCTCTGTAGGGGCCTGAGACCACACGGAGACAAACACTTCAACACACCCCTTTAACTTTTGAGGAATGGTATAACAGATCACTACCTTGAATTTAAATGTGTGGTGATAATACTGTATATAAAGAAATAGTGTCTTGTTGAGTTATATTAATTTCCATTAATACTTATATTGATATCACTGACATAAAAAAAAGTCCCCTGCTCCTCTGCTGGCGTCCCACAGGGATCAATATTTGGACCACTTTTATGTTGTGTGTTTATAAATAGTTTGCCTTCTGTCTGAATAGATCCAGCCGTATGCTAACAATACAATAATCTATATACCTGGTTGCACAGACAGCAACCTTTGACTAATATATATATATATCTATATCTATAGATAGATAGATAGATAGATAGATATCTATAAAGATAGAACAGCCATGATCATCCCATATTTCACATATTGTCTAAATAAAATGTATATGAATATACGCTTTGACCAGAAAAACCAAATGGCTTTCATAACTGTCTCTTTTGAAATCTTTCTAACATCCTGAGCTGGGAAATATGTTAATATTTTAGAGATAATACATTTACATTTTACTCATTTAGCTGACGCTTTTATCCAAAGCGACTTACAATTGCTAATTATGTGAGAGGTCACACGCCTCTGGAGCAACTAGGGGTTAAGTGTCTTGCTCAGGGACACATTGTCACAGTTGGGATGAACCCGGTTCTCTCTTTAGTGAAAACTCTGAGTTAGTAACCTGGACATAAGGGTTTCCAGTTCCAGAAAGAGAAGTAACTTGAACCTAACCTGGCTGCTTTTTTTCAACAAACCCTGAGCTTCTCCTTGGCTCCTCCCGCTTCCAGAGCCAGAGAAGTTGATTCATGTCCTGGTCAATTTAGTCCGTATCAAAGCGCATTAGTTAGCTGAAGTTTACTGTATGTCAGAATCTGAATTTTGCTTGGACATCATTTTGTTACTCAAGACTATCTAAAGTTACTGCTTTTTTGAGCCCTCTTTGAACAGTAGTTTTTGCCCTCACATTCAAATATTAGACAGCTTCAAGGCACATAAAAACCTTCTTTTTTAATAACACAGTTTTTAAGAACAGTTCACTAAAGTGTTAGTAGGATCAATGATAAAATATAGGAGATTATATGTTAATATTTTATTTTTTAAATAGGCTGCAAATAGTCTGACCATTGTCAACAGGATTTCACTGTTTAAATTTACAACATTTGTTAAAGTAGCTGAAATAAAGCCAGTGAATGCTGTTGAGCCAAGATCCAAATAGATGTCTAAAATTGACTTTACTGTCCATTAAAGAAATGTTACTCTGGTTAAGTATAAATTAATGGACAACACTGAATACAACTGTATTGTATTAACTTAATGACACTCATCCCGTTCTGACTCAGGCTCTTTATTTAATGATAAATGTGCATGGTCCATATATGCATGCATTAATATCACTACGTCACTTGAATTCAAATGGAGGCTCTGCCTTTTATTTACCTCGGCAAACTCCGGGTCTAAAATTTAAAGCTAATGTGGGAGTGCCTTAAACCGGCATTCGTTCTAAAGGCCAGCATTTCTATTTATTACCTCAGTAAATACTTTTCTAATGAGTTTCTGGTCCCAATCGCTTGAGTCTTCTTTAAATCAGCATGATGTTCATTTAGTAAATTATGGTCCAGTTTAGAGAAAAATAGACAGTATGCTTTAGGGCGTGGCTACCTTGTAGTGCGTACCCCTCCTTCTGGAACCGAAAACTTATACTCAGTGTTCAGGGTTCGGCGCAGAGTTTGCTAAACCTGCTTTCTGGGATGGACCCTTGAGGTATTACTGCTTTAAGAGTAATGCCTCAGTGTGTGGGAATTCCCCCTCCATACACAGTCACACACAAACACGCCTTCAATTCATGATGAAGTGAACTGGACAGGTGAAATCGAGGAAGGGTCACAGCCTTCACCTGGATTCAGTTGCCGCTTGTCTGATGCACTTGCTGTTTCTACCTTTTTGTGTATGTGTGCTTGTGTGTTACCTGGTTTCTTGTGGAGTGTCTGTTCTCGTCCTGGCGGTGCGACAGCGTCCTTTCTTCGGCCTGTTTGTCGCGCGTCGATGCCTTGCCCTGACAAAAACATCAACACTGTCTACCACCAACAACTCACAACCACCCCCGCAGCAGAAACATCACAGCAAGCACATCAGTGTTCCTGGAGGCTTCGCGGCATGACAACTTCAATTTGAGTCTGTTGGTTTCCTTCAGTTTCATCCACTGGACATTTGGTCGCAGTGTGATGGCTGAGATGTTTCCACGGTGCAAACTTGTTTTGATTAATGTGTAATATTACAAAAGCTACAAAGTAGTAATGAAGCAAAAATTTAACTGTACACATAAAATGGTCAGAGCACGGTTTCACACTCACTCCTAACTCAGGAATACCTGTTGTGTGTGCGTGTGTGTGCCCATGTACCTTGCATTCATCAGCAGAGAGGTTGTGGTAAAGAGGACATCCCGATATGGAGAAATGTCTCTCATGCCTCCCTGTTAGATGACCTGAGAGAAAAAGCGAAGGAGAAAGGGGGAGCGAGAGGGAGAGGGAAAGAGAGAGAGAGAGGGACACAGAGAGCTTGGGGTTGGTGTGTGTTGGAGCAGGAAATCTGATCCTATGAAAAATGTCGCCGTGTTTGTGCCCTCCTCACCCAATGAGTTGCACCCAGGTGTGGGACACTTCATGTTGAAGTTGTAGCTCTCGTGGAAGCGCCGTCGTTTGGGCCGGTGGGAAAGGTCGTGGGCGGCGGCCTCTTTGAGTGACAGCTCTTTGGCCAGTCTCTCGTCCTCCTCTTGCGAAACTACTACATCGTTGCTAGAGGACACGTGGTCATTGCTGGGGCTGGAGACCTCGATGTCTGACTCTGAGGATGGGGCGTTTCCTGTCGGGGTGCGAGGAGGGGTCTCGTCCCGGTCCCCTCCCTGCTTCAGGTCTGTTGAGCCAATCAGGACAAAGAGAATGATTGCAAGAATGCTGGGTATGAACTTAAAACCCCTGCATAAATCTGCGAATTGCCTTTTTAACTGAAAATGACAAGTCAAAAAGTTCAAACATTTCAAATTAGACTTTTACTCATAGAGATAATAAACACATTAACATGCACCCTAATGATCTAAAAGGTATGGACAATTATGGAAGGAAGTTATACCACCACAAACAACACAGGATGTTTTCATGGAGTAAAATCTTTTGTGTCTGAGATTGAACATATTTATGGAAGAATCGCATAGGGCTGATAATAATAAGGAATTTCCTGAGGTTGTTTTTTATCTTTCCAAAGCCTTTGTCATGTTTGACTATAATATACTGCTACTGTATTATACAGTTGCCTCTGTAGCTAATTTCATGGTCAAGGTAAATTTGTCACCAACCAAGAATTAACTCAGCTTCCACAAGGGTCAATTTTAGGGCCCTTGATATTTTACATTTACTACTACTACTACTACAATAACTACTAGTATCTTTTATTCTCACAGATACCTTAATAATGAACTAATTCACATCTTTAAATGGCTTAGGCTATACAAACTAAGAAAAAATCAAAAAACTCAGAAGCTAAATTTGTTCTTTTGGAGAGAGCCACTTAAACATGAATCCTTCAATGACAGATATCATGTTGAACTGCAAACCATATATTACAATGATTCTTTTTAAATTAGTTAAAAAAACAAAAGGATACATGATAAATTTCACCACAGCTTCTTTTGACATTTGTTGTTACTGTATAATTATTTCCTTGTGTTCCAATTTCTTTTTGAATTTTGTTTTGACATTTTATATTTGGTTTTCCATTTTGTATTAACAAACAAACTAGGTTTGTGTGACATACATTATTAAAATTACTGTAATAAATGTTCTTCATAAATAACGTTTAGTTACAAAGTAAGAATGATAAAATGATAAATTTGATTAATTAACATAAATGATAAAATTGAATAAGCAAACGATCTAAGCGCAGATATATCTGCTTTAATGGATACAGATCACCACCTCCTACGGTGTCTGAAGTTGGATAACAGATCCTGGTCTTAGTAAGGTAATTCATTCCTCCCAATGACAAAACACAGGTCCAGGATATGTACTGACACATATTTGTCTTCTTTATAATCAGGAACACACTGTGATCACAGACAGGGCCTGTGACATTAGCTGAACGGCTCTACAGTGACTGAATGAAAGAGGCAGTTAGACTCCAGTCCTCCATCTCCGCTCCCACATCATCTTTATGTAATTTCTTATTTCCTCTGCCCTTTCAGATTTCTTTTCAACTCTCTCATCTACGCATCTGTTTTTTCTATAAGCTTCCTTTCGTTCTCTCCCTCCTCCCCTCCATGCCCTGACTTTACCACTTTTCTCCTTCATCTCTTTCATCTGCTGCGTCTCTGTTTCTACTCTCTTATTATAACAAACTCATCTGCTTGTGATTTTTCTCCTCCTACAGTCAAGAGAAGGAACACGAATACACCAAACAGCATCCACTATTCATATAAATAATGTAGAAAGCATCCCTAATGTAATGTATAGATCTAATTTGTAAGACACGCAGGAAACACTACCGGTCTCACCATTAGCCTCTGTGTCTGAGCCAGATGACCTGCTCTGACGCAGCGGGTATTTTTTGGCTGTGGTGTTTGTCGCCCCTTGCTGGCTGCGTGTGACCCTGCGCCCAGAGGAGAAGACCGACGCTGCCACTGCTGCTGTTGCTGCTGCTGCTGAATCCTGGCCTTCTTCAGGACCCGTAGCTGCAGGAGAACTGCTCCGCACAGAGCTGAAGTTATCTAGAAGAGAAGAGATTACTTAAGTAATATGGTTTTACATACAAAATATATAACCTAATAAAACGCATTTGAATGTAAACTATCCAGCTTGATATCACCTAATGAGACTACCCAAAGCATTAACATGCCGATAAAACATTAATACACTTAGAAATGTACTTTTTTTCATAATGACTACTTTTACTTTCGATACGTTTTACTGCTAATACTTCCATACCTTTACTTAAGTTTCAAATGCATTTATTTTCCTTTATAAAATTGCTACTTTTACTTAACTAGCTTTTTTTCTGCTACTGTTAACAGTGTGACCTAGAGTCACTGCCTTGAGTACAGAGCTGAAATGATTAGTCAATATATTGATTGGTTTGATTAATAGAATAGTAATTGGCCACTATTTACAATTAGGGCATTTAGCAGATGTAAAGCGACATACAATAAGTACATTTGTTGGAAGAAAGTAAAAAAGCAATAGATTGCTGTCAGGAGAATAAGGATGTCAATAGAACAAGTTTCAAGAACTCATAATTGCTAGGTTAGCCATTGGTAGAGAGAATAGAATAGAGGCTGAGATGCTACACAGTACTACATATAATTTTTAAGAGCCAAGGAGGAAAAATTGTGTGTTTTTTTAATAATTAATTGATAATTTATGTAATTTTTCTTGCAAATCTAAAAACATTTCCTAGCTTCAGCTTCTAAATTATAAGGATTTGCTGCTGCTCTTTGATTTATGTGACAATAAACTGCATATCTTTAGGTTTTAGATGATTAGCATAATTGTTAGTTGCAGCCCTACTTAATTGTCTACATGGAAACTTAAGAAAATTTGCTGCAAAGGTTTAGAGTACAATCTTCTGAACAGACCCATTACATCTTTTTTCCCCCAAATTTTAGATTCTTAAATCTGTGCAGTCTGTAACTGAGCACCTCCAAGCAAAAATAGTAAGAAGAACATAATTACTCGTTTTTGTGAATGGCTTCAAAGGTTATGAAGAGACTAATCCCGCCAAAGAAAGGAAGACTGAACCTCTGAATCCACTTATTTTTTGGAGAACACTAGGCTCTGTGTTTCTAAGCCTGTATGAGGGCGAGGACAGCGTAGCCAACTTCTCCCACTAACAAAAAGCAGAGGAAACAGCGTCTGCCTTTTTTTCTGTGCTATAAATCCTCTCTGGCAGCCACAGCATAAAGAGGTCACACGGGGGGGTAGGAGTAGACTTTGCCTGTCTGTAGTGGGGGGAGGTCAGGCTGTCTGAAACCATTCATGCTTTAAGGCAGCACATATCTAAAAGCTACTGCTGAAGCTGCATGTTATGGGCTAAATGGAGTTTTTCTACTCTGTAGTACACACACACATATATATATACTGTATATACATATGTATATATATATTTTATTTTAAAACATCTGCTGAAGGGGGTTTAGGCCTAGATAACTTAAAAATCCATCAGTTATTATAAATGATGCCTTCCTAATGAAACTGATGAAAATGGTTTGCGGAAATATGACAATGTATGAACTTATAACTTATACAAATTAACTTTTTAATTGAAATTTAGAAAAGCATTAAATCAACACTGCAAATGTATGACATACCAAGTTAACAAAATAACTGTTTTCAGAGAAATTTAAGGTTACCATGCCATGCCCTTTTATGCTATAAAAGTCCCTCATATCGTTTCTTATCCCAAACTTTCTATTGTTCTCGCCTCTGTGTGATATAATTGTCTGTCTGGCGTTTTCGTACTTCCTGAGGATTATTTTTAATAACCTAACCTTTTAAATGTTTACCTTGGGAGCTCTGGCTGAGGCGCAGTGACGCGCGAGTCAGGCGCGTGCTGCTGCGCCTGCGCACACTCTCGGAAGCTTCCGTGTGCTCGAGGTCGGCGGAAAAATCCGAGTCCTCCGTCCCGTCCGAGCTGCTGCCTGCGGTCCTCTGGAAACAACAACAGTTATCAACAGCCTGCGTGATATAAAGTCTGGACTGTCAATAAACCCGAATCAGGTGATTTAGAAACATTCTGAGTAAAGATTTGTGTGTTTTTACCAGCGGATAATTCAACAAAGATCCCATACTGGGATAGGAGCATTACCCTCTCCACATCTCCTCCGGCTCTGCACCCACCTCTTGTCAAGATGTAAGCTGCTCAATAAATACTCAAAATAAGCCTAATCATCACAGCGTGTACACACCGAATAATAGCGATAATATCTATTGTACCAAATCCAATTTTTCCACAACGCCTGAGAGAATACAAGACTCTAGACTCTTAAAACGTCCCTGGTTTCCAATTTGGAGTCAGTTAAGTTGACTAATTGTTTAAAAGAGTATTGCCAAGAGCGCCTACCAACTCACTAAAACAAATGAACTAATTAAATGTCCCATAAACTTGTTTTGCTGCATAATTTGTAGGCTGTTAACTGCCTGCTGCACGGAATGAATGGGGTGATGCTGAGTACCATTGAGGGCTCACAAGAGACCAGAATCCGGTTGGGTGGGGGTAGGGTAAGGGTAAGGGTATCCAAGTAGGCCTAGTAGCTAACATGTAATTCGCATTAAAAAATATTAGAGTCCCTTCCATTCTAAATAATAGCCCAAATGTGATATTACAAATGGTTTAATATGATATTGGTTTATAATGGTTTAATGTTTCTGTATTTAATTCGTTGTACAATACTTTGTTCACAAGCATATTGATTTTGTTTTCTCCACAAGTCACATTTAATGTACAAAGAAATAAAACGTAGCCTAATAATTAGATATGAGAACACTTCATTGATTTCATTGAAAACATTAGGAGAGCTAAGCCTTTAATCAAAATTTAAAGCTGTATATAGGCCTACATCCATAAGCACAGTAAACATAACAAAATACAGTAAATCAAAATAACGATACCCCATTCAAGTGTAGCCTACACTTTATGTTCATACTAATAGAAACATCAATATTACGCTACTTGCCTTTTAATACTAATATGCATTACATCGTAATAGCACTAAAATAAAGTAACAATATACACGTGAAAATAAAGTAAAACAGGAGATATCATTCTACAGTACAGCAGGGACAGTTAGCGCGCATCAGAGGGGTTTGTATTTGACAACTTCACAACAAGAAACTGAACACTTAATTTACATACGACCAATTATATTGTCGAGGGGGCGGGGCTTGAAGGAGCCAGGCCAATGAACGTAACGTTTGTCCCGATTCTGACCAATCAAAGCGTTGTTTTGGTTCGGACGCTTCGTTCCACCATCGCACTCAAAGAACAGCCTGTTCCCTCTCGTCAGTTAGCTTAAACCTGCCGTTCCACAGTGAAGGGGACCAGCAGCTCCATGCTCTCCACCAACTGAGAGAAACCTGACCGAAACTAGCCCACATTCTCAAAGTTCTTCTCACTAGACCCCGACGAGGCGACACTTAATAAACAACAACACATTCTTGCAACTCAGCAATAAACATTAGCTAGCTTAGCTTTTAGCACCAACACAAAAAGGCATTTCAGTTGTGTGATTCTACCAACATTGGTATTCAACACACATCTACAATGTGTTAACGGCATCTTTTAGAATCACATTTCAGCTCGCTGGCAGTCAAAGGTTTTTCACAGTTATATTTTCCCCTCTACGTTAGCTAACAGAAGCTATGACGTTATGTTGTGTCCGATCTGCAGTCTAACGGCTGCAGCGAACACCTGCCTTACCTTTCTCCGGGGCATTTTCAAAGGTTTGACGGGTCGCCTCTGGCAGATTAGTACTGCGTACTTTGGGAACAATTTATCTCAGGCTGTATAAATAACAAATCACCAGCTTTTGACATATGAGCCAACTCAGCTGAAAAAAGCGCATCAATTTCTCTCTGCACTTCCTTGTGAGAACAGCGCAAGCTCGTTTGTTTTTGGGGTCCGTTGACCAAATGGCACCGTGTGGAACACTGAGGTGGCCCTTAGATTCAGATATTTAGAAATATATTTCATTGCGCTCGAGCTAAACATGGGAAGGGCGGCGAATTATCTCAACTCAAGCTTTCTATTATTGAGTATTTATAATAGGTTCAGAGTAATGACTACGTTCATTAAAACGCATCAGACAGGTGGTACGTTACACAGAGCGGAACCATCAGCGAAGACCCAATATGTGTTTAAACAAAAAATAAAATATGTCTTAAATTGCTTAGGGAAGTTTACAAAACCCGTAAACATTACGTTGTTTTTGCTTAAATCCTGTCTAATAAATGAACTGTTAGAAACCGCATACAACACCGGAAGTGAGCAGGAGTGAAGCCTCTCCAAGCACATCCAGGTCCACAGTCTCAAAAGGCTTTTAGTGGGAGGGCTGCTAGCACGTTACTTTTGACGTGAGTGTGGGAGCTCGGTCCCCTTCCTTCCTTTTCTGTGTAAAGTTAGTTTGTTGCAGGAACCGTCTTACAAGCTTGAAAGTGCAGAATTTCACCCTGAACACCGCACAGAAACGAACACACAGCGCTAGGGAGACTTGCTTCCTCTCTGACTTGTAACTAACATTATTATGGCTGGTAGCACCATCAAGACAGTGTACGATATTTTTCAAAGCATGGAGTACGGACCAGCAGCAACTTCTAGCACCACCACTGCACAGGTAAAGTTGTCTTCCTGGCTAATTCTCAACAGAGAAGAGATTCAAGGGATTTGGTTAGCATGAAATGCCCCGTACTGGCAAATATTAGGTGTTTTACTCGTGTGAATTACTCACTTGTGCTAATGTTAGCGTATTCCTGTTAGGCTGTTTGACCCATGTGAAGTTCATTTAACTTACTGTTAGCTGACTGTTAAACTCACAAGGCAAACATGTGACTTAGACTGTGATGCAGTTAGTTATGAAATGGCAAGGGTGAGGCCAGATGTTTGGACACATGTTTCTGCTTCAGGGAAGTCTTCTCCAATGATTTTTGATAATTGAGTCAGACCCAGAGTCAAATCAGAGCACTAAGGCGTGAATTCCTGATGTAGTTGGTCAGCTAAGTTAATGTGTTGGTGATACAGATACAGTTTGGTGATCCACGTTGTTTAAGGATCAGGAAAATGTGCCCATACAGTAACTTACAGTCGATGTGTTTTCACAGTGTCCTGAACTGAATATCTCAGTTTAATTAAAAAGCTCCAAGGTGGTTCTACTGTTGACCTCATCTCTGCAGTCTGTCTTTCTGCTGTAACGAGACTAGATTAAGGTAATCAAATGAGAATGTAGGCATGATTTCAATATGATATCAGAGCAGCTTTAGTTCGGTCTGGGTTGCTAACTGAAGATGAGCTTGGTGGGTCAGAGAGAAGTTCTGTACTTTGCTCTTGTGTCTGTAAATAGTTGACACACTCGGAGCAGAGGAGAGCAGAGGTGGCGTCTTCCTGACCAATAAAATGTGAGCATGGGTTTGGGTATCTCTACAGTGTCAGATTGGCCTCATTTGGAGCCATAATGGGAAGAAGTTTTCATAGTTGTTGGTGGTGGTAACAAGCTTATAATAAAGTACAGTTATATGAACCCTTATCTCTTGCTCTCTTTTCAGCTGAGAGACCCTGCAGCACAGACATCAGAGTGCATTTCAAATACACTTTGCCAAATGTGTTTTCCTGCACATTCACCTTGATTTTCTTTTTCTTTGTCCGAGCTATTTGGCTCCCACAGATCATCAGTCTTTGTTGTTCTGGTAATCACTTGTGGATCCCAAACTTTTCTTTTTTTAAACCAAGTCACCTCTTCATAGTAATGTTTTATTTTATTTATTCCCCCCCCCCCCCCGTATTTCAACAACCTAGCAAGACGAGTAAGGATGATGTGAAATATGTGACATATATGATCTTAACAACAATATTAAGTGAAATAATACAGGTCTCAGAAAGATGAAAACAGCAGTTCACCTTTGTGTGTATTTGCAGATGATTATTAAACAATCAATAAAAAACAGGTATGCTAAATAGTTAAATATAGTTGTTGTTTTTTTTTGATCAAAAGCTCATCTTGGTCATTTCAAACTTTATTTAGATGAACCGACATTTCTTTGAGCTCTATTTACCATCTCTGAAAGTCCATATTTCCAATCTCTGTGTACCTGGAAAACTCTTGTTGTGGTGTTATAGCATATTTAATAGGGTTTGTAATGTGATAAAAAAAAAATTCTTATTGCTTTAGTTTTGAAGGTTTGGAAAAGTAACAAATCAAATGTAGTTAATGTAAAAGTCGCCTCAGTCTTTTTTTTTTTGTGGTGAAAAAATGGAAATCACATCTTGTGTGACCCTTGGCTTGTCTTAAGGCCCTCCACTAGTCTATGCTGTACACACTACTCACATCTTTCCTGAACACGTCTCAATGTGATTTGTGTGAGTTCTCATGTCCTTGCTGCATTTTGGGGTTACTTGGAGCCTGAATGTTGACTGTTGTCTTCTCCATCAGGCCTGGCTGGATCACCACTCCCGTTCTCTGGGTCTGTTCATCGATGGCAAGTTTGTCTGTCAAGCAGACCGACGGAGCTGCTCCCTGACTGACTCTAAAGGTAAGAGCGCCCTGAATTTACAGTGCATGGAAAACCTACACATTTTTATCTTTCACGTGGACAAATGAAGATGATGAAACTGACCACATGCATGCGTTTTCACTCCTCTGGGCTTCAGGTGGTAATGTGTGCAACACAGTGTGTGCCGTGGAGGATGACGTTTCCCAGTGCGCCTCCTCTGCTGTTAACGGCTACAAGGCCTGGAGCGGCCTGACGTGCTACCAGAGGGCCAAAGTGCTGCTCAGGTACGTCAGACTCACCTTTACACATTTCAGGAACCTCAGCATTGACTGTTTGAACCACCGCGTGGAGATTAATGTCCGCGTCGCTTGTCCACCACCAACAGGTTGGTGAGCGTTCTCGGCCAGCACAGTCAGTGTGTGTCGGAGCTGTGTGAGCTGTGTGGGGCCTCCTGCTCGCCCTCCGCCCTCGTCAGACTGCTGCAATACTACAGCAGCTGGGCTCAGCTCAGAGACACTCTTATCACCAACTGGACACCACTAGGTGAGGTCAACTGGGGTGTTTACAAAATAGCATCTGGTTTTAAAGTTCCTGTTTAAGGAGAGTTTTTGGGCTAAGAGTTGTTGTTTAATTTAGTTTTTCCTGTTTCCCAGGTGTGGTGGCAGTAGTTGGCTCTGATGACTGCTCTCTCTATTCCCTTTTGCTCAAAGTCCTACCTGCACTGGCCATGGGTAATACCCCCCCCCCCCCCCCCCCCCCCACACACACTCACTGTATTAATTAGATACACATTGAAAAGGTTCCTTTGTGTGTGTATATATATATATATATATATATATATATATATATATATATATATATATATATATATATATATATATATATATATATAATATATATATATATATATATATATATATATATATATATATATATATATATATATATATATATAAGCTTAATTTCTTTCCTCATTTGTAATTTCTATTCAAACCTGTAATAGGTTTTGTGAGTTGTAATTGAATCCTGCCTTCTTCTAGGCAACTCTGTCATCATTGTCCCTGGTCACAGCAATGGCCCTCCAGCGCTCCTTTTGGCACAGCTTTTTGTGGGAGCAGGACTTCCTGCCGGGGCTCTTAATGTGGTAACAGGAAGCGACGTTTCGCTGGGGGCCAAAGTGGCCCAGAGTCCCAGCATCAGCTACGTCACCTACAGCGGCAACAAGCAGGTGTGTGAGAAAATAGATGTTATATTCCTAACCAGAAAGTTGACAGCCTCCCTATACATTTGTTCTAAAGCTTCCAGGTGTTTTTATTGTTACCAACATTTCCTAAATCACTACAACAATGTTTCTCTTCTCTTTCAGGATGGGGTGATGCTCTGTAAGGCCACAGCAGGGATGGGCGTTCCCGTTTCTGTCTCTCCCATCATTGGCGCTACGTGTCCCTTCATCATCTTTGAGTCAGCCGACATCGACAGCGCAGTGGATGAAGTGATAGAGACGGCCTTCAAGAAGAAAAGAGAGGTCATTTATGTGGAAAAGTGTCCCCTATAGGAGGATGGAGCGTGTCCCATGCCATCCCATCATCCCACCACTTCTCTTTAACAGTCCTGTCTTCGTACCTCCCCTCAGGTCTACTGGGTGTTGTGCGTGCAGGAGAGTGTGCTGGACCATGTCGTGGCCCGTCTCAGGCTGCGCATGGCAGGGATGAAGTGTGTGCTCCTGCACAGTGATGGAGACAGGCTCCTGGTGGACGCTGCAGTACAGGAAGCTCAGCAGCAAGGGGCCACGGTTAGTCAGAAACACAAAGAAAAGAGGAGCTTCGGTGCAGTGATGTTCAAAAAGGGTGGAAGAGAGTAGAGCAAGTTCAGGCTGACAGACTGGAATTACATTTTTAATTTAATAATTAACATATTTTGCCTAAAATTTGTTGCTCTACCGAGTTCTGAGCAAATCCTGGGTACCTGACAGAGCAGCCATCTGGAGCCAAAATCAATTAAAACATAGCTGGTGGTGAGTGAGATCTCACAGATATGAAGGGAATTTACCCAGTATGGCTTTGTAAATAAAAATATACAAATGCTGCTCTATCCTAAGGCTTAATGAAGCCCAGGAGACAAGATACACAGGGTCTAGCCAGTGAAGTGTAGGGAAGGCAGAATGCATGTTAATGATGTCTCCATAGTCTAGAATACTTAAGAACGTAGCCTTTACAAGAGTTTACTGAACTGTTCAATTAAGACTGGTCCTATTTTTGACATTACAAATCCAGCCTAACTTTCAGTTTCTTCAGTAGGTTCTCAGTGTGCACTCTAAAAAAAGGCAGCCACAGCCACGCAAATATCCCTGTACTTAAATGCCAACATTCTCTGAGATCTGGGAGTGAGCTCTGGAAAAGATCATGAATTTGGTTTCCTCAGCATTAAGCTTTAGACCATGCCATGATGCCTGCATCTATTGAAAAGCAATCTGCAGCCCACCAACAGCCTGACTTAGACTGTTGTATCATTTGTAAAAAGATGCCCTTTGGCTGTAAATAGAAAATATGTAAATGACTAAAAACATTTCCAAGGCCCAAAAGTAGGAACATTAAGTATTTGAAAAAGAATAATGAGCTGTAACTTACTGTGTTTTGTTTTCTTTCTGGATGAAAAACAGTTATTTTTCTCTCTCTGCCCCCCAGTTGGTTCAGTCCTGCTCTGCCCCCCCTTCAGGTGCTCAGTACCCTCCCACGGTGCTCTGCGGGGCGGCCCCCTCCTCTCCGTTTGTGGTCAACCCCTCTCCTGGACCACTGCTGCCTCTCATGACCTTCAGAAGCAACACAGAAGCAGTGACCCTGGGTAAGGAATAGGAACTGGAAGTTTAATATTGAATTCCTACTTGAACCACAGTAACAGCCTCTGTTCTACACAGGAAACCACAGTCCTCATGGCCAGGCAGCCTCTATCTGGACTGAAGACCTCACCCTGGCTCTGGAGACAGCTAAGAGGTGCGCACATTCACACACCTACCATCTCACTTTTCTTGTATGTTTCTTTGCCTTTTCATTTTTTTCCTGTCTTCTTCCAAAAAAACGTTTATTTTTTTACTGGCAAACGTTAATCTTAGTAAATGTTTCCTATCTCTTCTTTTTGGCTTCTCTCGCCCATATCCTTCCATCCCTTTTCGCTCATGTTGTATTTATAAACAACTGGTAGGAAAAGCACGGGTGGAATTAATAACATTAATAATGGCTGCGTTCCATTTCGTTGAGTTGCCAGTTGCAGGGCTCTGATGTTTTTGCATGGTCACTCACCGACATGGCTTACTGGGACGCTTACTGGCATGGGGCCATTGTTAATGTTAAACACCTCTGCTTTTCCTGCTTTAGAAGTCAAAATATCTCAAGTGAAAGGGGTCAACTACTCCTTACTGATGTTTCTTCTTCCTCTCTACTCAGTCTGTCAGTTGGCTCAGTGTGGGTGAATTCCAGCTCTGTGTCTGACCCCTGTCTGCCTGTCTCCGGTCACAAAGACAGCGGCACCTGCACTGACGGAGGACAGGAGGTGGGTTTCAGTGGTTTACACAGGTAACACTTTGAAAAGAGACACTTACAGAGCCCCAGAACTGACTGAAATGTATTTGTGGTCCTGGATAAAGAGAGGAGATATGCACTTAAAGATGAAGATAATGCTGTGAAGATAGAAGCATGGTGTCTGTAAACTTCTAAGTAGTGTTAGTTAGTTAGCTAATTTTGTAAGTGTTAGCTTGTTGGCTAAAATGCTTTAGCCACTGTTACAAGACTTCATATAGTGGTGTTACAGCAGTATGCAGTACAGTATATAAATTATACTGGCTGGTGTAGTTTAGTGCAAAAAGTTATCTTTAGCTAGTTACAAAAGCTGACTGTCAGTTTAGCTGCATTATTTTCAGTTAAGCTAGCTAGCCACACAGTCCTCTCGATGTCGCTAGCCTTGTAGTCACATCATTTAAACAGCCTAAATGGGCAGTTTGTTAACCAGAAACAAACAAACTATGTATAACTCTTGTTATAGTTCATTCATTGATTGTACTAATATTAATAGTGTTAATATTGGATTTTATTGCAGCTGCTAGCTATGATACATTCTGTCCCCATTTTGACAACTCAGTAGTTCTTTCCCCCGAAATGGGAAATATTGTCGTCAGAAATTCTTGATATCTCCAACCCAGAATTACACCTGGAAGGCTGACATTTTCTCTTAGTCAGTAATTACAGTCTTAACAACTTGACAGGAATGCAGCATTACACACACACACACACCCCTGTTCCAATCATTGCTCTGGACATGCCCATCCAATTATCAAGTAAGCATTAGGAAAATTGGAAATATGATGAGGAGAATGGCCTTATTGTGTGGCAAAAATGGGGCATAGATAAATAATAAATTTTACTATTCTACTTATCTATTTATCACACATTTATTTATAGTTTTAATTGATTTTAAACAGGGTTGGCCGCATCTCCCAAGCATTAAGCACATTCAATTATGGAAACTGTAAATAAAGTATTTTCTTTATTAATTGGAGTAAAGACAAGTATAAAGCTTGTTTGACTTGTTTAATAACCCTTTTAATACATTATGTTGGTTACATACTAGAACAATCTTACTACCATGCAGATGAGTTTTGTACTGTATTTTGACCACCTCTCTGCTTTCTGCCAGGGTCTGTACCAGTTTCTACGCCCATCTTCTTCCTCCTCTCCTCCTCTACCTCGCTCTTCCCCTGTCTCTATGGACTACTCGAAGTTTGGAACAGCAACCTCCCCGGCTATCATTCCTGATGAGTCCGACCCTGCCAGGTGGGTGTGTAATGCTCTGTTTACTTTACGTCATGTTTATAAGGCATCACAGCTGCGTAATAAGCACATATATTAATATCTTTAAATCTTCCTTCAGTGCTCCTAAGTCCTACCAGCAGTTTGTCAGCGGTAAGGCTTGTAAATCAGTGTCTGGCTGCAGCGTGGCTGTGCAGTCACCAGGGGGCGGCGGCGTGTTAGCCTATTGTCCAGATGGAGGCCGGAAAGATGTCCGTAACGCTGTGGAGGCTGCTGTCAAAGTCCAACCTGGGTGAGAGCTTTGCCACACAAACATACACAAGTTACACACCAGCTGATGCATGTTGGGCTTTCAAAGTCACAAACCCAAGGCCACAGTGGAAACATTTACATTTCCAATGTGAAAAAGAGCTGATATACCTGCAGTAGACACACACATTTATTTGTTCTTGTTGAAATTCTTTTTTTATTTGGCTATACCAAGGTAGTGTAGTCAGATCAGACTTAGTAGTCAGTGCCCATTTTTAATAATAAAATATTTTTTAAATAAATAATGAAAATATAGAGTCCAAAGCAAATGAGTACAAATAAATTAATCAGATAAATGATACATTTAAAGAAATTAAAGTGCATAATAACAAAGACAATAACCAGAACCTTGGGATGTACCATGATGATACTCAATTCACTTAAAACAAAACAAAATAATCTTAAACAAATGATGATAAATGTACAGATTTGTTAGAGATCCAACTTTATTAAATTATAAAGTTATATGATGTGGCATTGTTATTATTTGTTAATTTTCCTTAAATTCTTATCTGAAAACATGACCTACACTCTGTGTAAACTTACATGTAGTCATTTGGCATGTGATCTTGTCCAAAGCGACAACTGAGGTACAATCCAGGCTGCAGTAGATCAAGGTGAAGCCTCAGCACTCGGTTCCAAGTTCCACCAGACACAAGCGCTACAAGGCTGCAGATGCATGAAGTTACACATTCTTCTAGTTTCACAGTAAAGATGTTAAAATATCAGCAGTAGCTTAATGCACAATAAGTTGACCACACAAACTAACAAAACAGAAACTTGTGTATAATGTGGATAGCTCACGTCTGGCCAACAGCAAGTTCACTTAATTAGGCCAGTTATACGTGCCTCTACTGATCCAAACGGATTTATATTTCCCTAATCATAATCACTCATTTTGACCAGTTTATTGTTAGCTGCTTAATGTTAGAGCAAATTAGATGTGCAGTTCTCTCAGAACAATCCTATCATGCCAATGGGCTCACTAAAACAACCCAAACAGAATCTTTTTCCCAACTCATGGATTGTGCAAAATGAGCAGCATCAAAAACATATGAATTAGAATCTAAAATCCTACCTTTGTTCCATAGTTTTGTTAAATTCTGTCAAAGACCATGCAATTATTGAATTTGGCCTAGGAGTTCAAATGCAATATATCCCAAGTTAAACCTATCATTATTTGCCAAAGATAACTCCTGATATCGTGAATTTGAGCTTTTTAATAAAAGGCATTTATTCAGGTTTTCAGACTCACATAAGGACACACATGTAAACAATCCAGAAAGGCAGCAAGGTATTTCACAACCCAGTTGGCTGTGTGTATGTTTATCACCAGTCAAAGTCCAACTTGATGTTGGGCATTGATAAAAAGGTGAAACACAGTATCAACAAAGTACAAGTGTATCAACAGAGTTTTGTCACACTGAAATCCAATAAACAAACCAGCTCAGTGTGGTTTCCCTGCAGGACATTCATACTCTTTGTTTTTAACCATTATTCCCACTTTAAAATACTGAAATGTAACCTGACAAAGAATGAGACATGTTGGTGTCGGCGTAAATGCTTCTTTATAATCATTTAATTTCTTGTAACATCTTTCCCCTCCTCTAGCTGGATGAAAAAGACTCCGTCTGCACGCGCCCAGTCTCTCTACTCTCTGGCCAAGGGCCTGGAAGCAAAGAAGCGCGACCTAGCTGCTTCAATCAAAGTTCAGACCAGCCTCTCCATGGAAGATGCTGACGAGCAGGTAGAGCTCAGCATCGGCAGGCTCAGTGATTGGGCAGCGTACTGTGACAAAGTCCGAGGAGGAGCTCCGGTGAGGCTTTTTCTGTATTATGCACAGTTTGTAAAAAACTTAATTCCAGTAATGAAAACATGAGATGGTTGTCAGGGAGATTGGTAGCATTTGCTGACCTCCAAAACTGCATTTGCTGCCCCTCTCCTTCAGCCTGTGCCACAGTCTGGCTCTGCTCTCTCCCTCCCTGAAGCCCTGGGAGTCGTGGGGGTCGTCCTCCCTGACAAGGATCCCCTCCTCTCTATGGTAACACTTCTTGGGGCAGCCATCGCCACTGGTAACGCCATCATCATGGTCCCCAGTCAGAAGTACCCACTACCAGCCTTGGCATTCATTCAGGTAAGTGTAAAGATGGTAAATGTTCAGCAAGTTGGTCAAAGGAGGGAGAAAAGCTGCTGCACTTCTCAGTACAAAAGTTAGAAAAGACTTCAAAATAAAAGCATTTCTCAGAAAATATCAACAGTCAGAAGCCAAACACAACAGCAACAAATAGAATGATTACAAAGTGCTTCACAGAGAAAAAGAAAACAGCAGTTAAAGAATAGACGTGCCGTAGTTTTCTGTAATGCAACGGTTTATCTTGATATATTCAACTCCTAACATTCAAAAAGAGTAATGGACCTGCATAAATTTAGATTTCCTTTTTCTGATAATTCGGTTAAATTTGGACAGACTGTAGAGTCTGAGCTATCCATTAGTTTCAGTAGTTTGCTGAGCTCATTAGGTTTAATGGACAAGTACAGCTCTGCGTCGTCCACGTAAATAAATAATTCAAATAGGGCCAACAACAGACATGTCACTAACTGCCACTGAGAACACCTGTGCACATCTGTCACACTGATTTTTATCTTTATAGCCTTGTTTCCTCCTTCTCCTCAGGTGCTCCAGTCTTCAGACCTGCCAGCAGGTTTGGTAAATGTCGTTACAGGAAGTAGAGACCAGCTGACCGTGGCTCTGGCTAATCACAGTGTCATCAAGGCCATCTGGTACTGGGGCAGTGCTGAGGTGAGGACAAAACACCAACACTTACACCAGTGTTCACATTTTGTCAAGAACCTCCCTCAATAGATATCTGAGCCCCCTGAAAGCAGGGTTCAATTAAGTCCTCACTCTGAAATTAACAATACCCAGGACACCAGACAGAACTCTTATGACCCAGCCCTGACACCTATTAACATCTTCACTCCTGCTGCAGGGCTGTCAGTACCTCCAGTACACCTGCACCAGCCCTTTGAAAGTCCTGCGCCTGTTCTGCCAAAAGGACGGGGAGGGGAAAGACTGGGCTCACCCCTCACTCCTGGAAGAGATGTGGAGAAATGCCGTCCAGTGGAAGAGTGTCTGGATTCCTACGGCATAAGAAGACAGGGGGAGGGAAATGAAAGATGGAGGTGACTAACAAAATAGAGGGGGAAGAGCTGCAGATACCTACTGTTTTAACATCAGCCTGTAGAGGTAATCTCTGATCTGTAGGTTATGGATTTATACGGAAGGACAAAAAATGAACTGTGACCATGAAAATCACAAGATGTCAGTGAAATGAACTGTGAACAGACAACAAACAAACAAAGGTGCATTCAGGGACGACAGGTCAGACAACAGGGATTTATTTACCAGATTATGAGTGAGTGAGCGGAATGAGAAATCGAGGGGTGAAATATATAAACGGATTTAATTTTGAGGTTATGGCAGGGGAAGACACAGGCATTCAGTCTGGGATGGATTTCCGTAAAAAAAAAAAAAAATTATTAAATACTAATGAAAACTGATAATGAAGGGCTCATGTTAGCTGCATTGCTGATGTATTGATGTATTAACATCATTACATGTACCTTCATTAGATAACCAGTGTAGGTTCTTCCTCTCACCTCGTCAAACTAACAAGGGAGTATAAACACAGAACCAAGTCGACCTGATGTTTGCTATTGCTATGCTATTTCTGCCGTCATAAACACAAGTCCTGGTGTCTTTCTACCTTTATCTTCTGCTATTTTTTTCCCCAATAGTCATCACAGCTCTGCTTGGTTTATTAGAAGTATCTTGAATCTTGAATGAGTCAGCATATGTCTTTTCAGACAGACCTGCAGGTAGCAGAGCCCTGGATCAAAAAGTAGTTGGAAGACTGTAGATTATTGGAAGTATCACAGAGACATAGTAGAATCTATCATTGTTTCAGTCAAATATCTCAGTGGTTTTTTTGTTTTGTTTTTTTACAACAATACAACATATCTTTTTTTCAGTCTACAACTTAAACTCATCTGCCTCAGAGTTTTGTCTATGACTGAGAAAATATTGATCAATCGTGTGTAAACTCAATCTGAATACGCTACTGTACTGTATACTTAATTACTGTACAATAATACTGTTGCTTTTAGTCATGGAAGTACACTCTGCGCAAACATTCTCAGAGAAGTTCACACCAAAACATCTGTATGAGTATTTCCAGAGAATGACACTGTGGGTCTCACTGTCTAAACATAACTAAAAGAAGATTTAATGAATGTGCACACTCTTGTCGTATTTCTTTTTTTAGCATGGCTTCATGGATGGCAACGCCGGTCTGCTGGTGTTGCCATCCATACCTCAACAGCTGTTTGACAGATTGTGTTTGAACATTGTGTACAGACATTTATGCCCCCTTGAGGATGAATTGTTATAAATTTGGTAATCCATTAATGTTTCATGTACTGTGATTTAAGACCTTATACCTGCAAAACTTACTTAAAAATTACAATTCCATCAGCCTATGGTGTACTTTGGGTTTAGTGCTAATTAGCAAATGTTAGCATATCTCGGTGCAGCCAGTATAACTAGTTGACCTGAAATTGTTGTTGCTGAGTAGTTGGCCTCTAGACCTTCCCAGCAGTAACTAATGAGAAATGTTTGAAAAGAAACATGCACTTCATTAACAAAAATAGACTTTCCTCTTTTAGTAACTATTACTAGATATTATTGATAGAAATTGAAATTTGCAAACATGTACACAGTTATGGGAGCTGACACAATATAGTTATATTATACAGTTTTTAGTAAATCTTGTCCTGTTCTTGGTTTGCTTTTTTAACTTTCTTGTTCCTTTGTTATTTTTTACTAACATGAACAATTTTCCCTGCAGGTGGAAAGCTTAAGAGTGATTGATTACCAGGAAAGAGCATGAGTTATGTTTCACAAGCCAACCACATGTGGGTCTTAGAACAAAGCCCTATGGAAAGATGCAATGCAAACAATGTGAGTAAGACGAGATAGGGTGACAGCAAAGTGTCATGCGTGGCTCCAAGGGCCATGGCAAACAAAGGGGGGGGGGGGGGCGGCACCAAAAATTGTCCCAATTTATTTACAAAAACATAGATTAAATTACAAATCAAGATGACTAGGAGCACTGGGACCAGGTGTTGGTATGGCTGGTATGGCTGGACTGCAGCCATACCAGCCATACAACATGTTCATTAAGAATGACGCCTTGATAATTCCTGTGTAACACTGTGCCACTTCCTCATCAACTTCATGCCTGCCCGCATGGCACCCATACTTACCGTGTGCAAATAAGACCTTAAGCCCAAGGCTATAAAGGAAGCAACTACTTGGAGATGTAAGATGATGAACCTCAGCTCAATATCCAGCTCTCTTTGGCCAACAGTCTATAGTCTTAAGCAGATACATTAATACTACAACTTAAAATAATGGGTGAATAATTCACAAGTTTCCTTCACCAAATTAATTAAAATAACCTTTCAAGTAAGATTAAAGATAATTGATGTCAGGGAGAGGTAGGATACAGAGAATAGTGCCATGTAAACAGAAGCAGTGTCCTTATGTTAAGCACTTGTCCAGACTAGCACAGCTTTACAAGTGGAAAACTGCTGGCTCACTGCTGTTGGTTCCTTGTCTGATGAGAGCGAAAGTGATGTTGTCTTGTACTATTTACTTAAACTATTTTAAAGGATATTAAAGGACAGTAGGGGACTACAGTCCCACCCCAGACACAGCCTGTTAACCCTGCTGTCATCTTGAAAAAAGATACAGAAGTTTCTGCTGTTGCACGCCAGACTGCAGAGCAGCTTTCCCACCAAGCTATGAGCTACTCAAATTCATCCTCAGCCTTGTCAATGGAATAAAGTTTATAGTTTGCTTCTGTTCAATTTTCTATTATTGTTTTTGTATACTGTATTTTTATACAGGGGGGGGGGCAATGGCATTTGGCAGATGGTCTGAAAAAGTATAACCACTGTGAGGCATGTGAGGGGAGAACATCGTCTTTGATACTTCAGAAAAGCATTGACTATTTTGTTTCCTATTTATTCACTTTTTTGTGCAAACAAAGGGAAAATGAGAACTTAACGACTCACCTTTACACACATAAAATTACACACTTGAACCTCTTCTATACTAAATGTCAATTCATTAGTGCTGTCCATTGTCCCCTGAAAACACCAAAAGTGCTTCGTCATAGCAGGTGAGTGGCTGTCAGCAGTTCCGCATTAATTAACGGAACATTAAACCAATATTTCCGTGTGTAACGAGTAGCCTGAAGAAAGAAACTGGATCTCTCAGCGCAAGGCGTTGCCATGGTCATGCGCTTTCTCAGCTCTGTGATTGGCGGAAATATGTAGAGTGATGTCACGAGGTCTGCCGTGTCTGGTATAAATACTCGGAGCGACTCACCTGCCATTTACACCAGGGAAGAAAATCTTGAGGAGTTCTTGCTTCAACAGTGTTTGAACGGAACTTCTTCCTTCGTCCCGCTTTTATTTCAACTACTCTGCATTCCGGACACGAGAAGCCTTTTTTCTACTTGAACACTGCTGATAAAGTCGTCGTAAAGCTCTGTTTTTGTACCGTTTTGTTAATAAAAAGCTAAACGCCAGCTAAAATGGAGTCCCAAGTGCGTCAGAACTACCACCGCGAGTGCGAGGCCGCCATCAACCGGATGGTCAACATGGAGCTGTACGCCTCTTACACCTACACTTCTATGGTGAGGAAAACAACACTTAACAATATTGTGTAATGTCATGTTTTGGTAATGTATCATCCACCTACATTGGCAGACTGACTGACTTCATGATAAAATTAATAATAATGAATGCAATTGAATTTGTGTATATTTAAGGTTTGTCACTGCTTAACTTAATAATGTAGCATTACAATATCAGCTTGCTGTTTCTGCATTAACTTTATTCGGTTGTTTATCACTGACTGGCAGGTTGCCAGATAAGGAATGTTTTCACTGAATAAAAAAAAGCTGTGTCATGCTGATGCTGCTTGTGGTGGTTTGTCAGTCAAATTCAGTGTATCTGGTTTAGACACAAAACCGTGACTCTTGTGACTGGCCTGCTGCATAAGTACTGATTGTAACAACCTTTAGCCAAATAATGATGGGTCATGTCTCCTAATCGCTGTTTTTCTCCTCTGCCTTCGTCCCACCTTGTCCCTCACAGGCCTTTTACTTCTCCCGTGACGATGTGGCCCTTCCAGGCTTTGCCCATTTCTTCAAGGAAAACAGTGATGAGGAGAGGGAGCATGCTCAGAAGCTGCTGTCCTTCCAGAACAAAAGAGGAGGACGCATCGTCCTGCAGGACGTCAAGGTCAGTTCAGACCGGAGAACTGGTCCTGTTGTGACATGTGTCCTCACCCTGTGTGGCTAGGGCAGATAAATGATCTCTCATAATAATAAATCTCCTGGTTACCTGAATTAAATGACTTCAGAGCTAATCCTGAGCCTGGTATGAGACAGAGGGTGATTGGTAGTACTGGTGACTCAGCAAAATGTGTCTTGTGTGCGTAAGGATTAATATATCCAGTGTTCAGTCTGCTGTAACGGTCTGTCTTTAGAAACCAGAGCGTGATGAGTGGGGGAGCGGGCTGGAGGCCATGCAGTGCGCCCTGCAGCTGGAGAAGAAGGTCAACCAGGCTCTGCTGGACCTGCACAAACTGGCCTCTGACCATGTAGACCCTCATGTAAGTTATTTAAACAGTCTGTTGGGGTTCATCAGTACTGGTAGTAAATTGTCGGTCTTTACCAAACCAACAATTGTTCTCTCATCCTGTCCTCAGCTGTGCGACTTCCTGGAGACCCACTACCTGAACGAGCAGGTGGAGGCCATCAAGAAGCTGGGCGACCACATCACCAACCTCACCCGCATGGACGCCAACACCAACAAGATGGCAGAGTACCTGTTTGACAAGCACACCCTGGAGGGCAAGAGCTAAACGCAAAGTCCCAGGATGGAGCCTGGAGTGAAAATCTTACTGACACGCAGGCTTTAAACTAAACGCAACCTTCTGCTCCAGTTTATTTACGAGCGTAATTTGACATCTAATTGTGGGGGTGGTTATGTTAAGGAAGGATGGGGGGTTTTATCAGGTTCTTTGCACTCGATACTTATAAACCTCCTCTTGTGTGACATTTTAACAACTGTGACTGTACCTTTTCTGATCTGAATAAACATTTTGAGCTGGACTCTGGTGTCTGTCTGCATCGGTTACATGAGCTGTTCTATTGACCTAAACACTCTATGTAACATTTACACGAAGTCATGAAAAGCGACACTTTAAGTGGCTTACTTTTGAAAATGAATTATTTCATCCTGACTTGTTCAGCCAAAACAGCATTACAGTCATACAGCGAGCCCTGCAGTTTCTGTGATTTTTAGGGAGATCTTAATTAACGGGACAGTTTCTTAGATGTAGGCTGTAGTTGAATTATCTTAAGTATTTTTACATATTTGACTATCTTACATGTCCAAAAATATGGAGCCAGGGTGGGGGTTAATTAACTAGATGAAGGTGTCAAAGTTACAAGAAAAGTCTGAAATTAAAGTCCCACAAAATCCAGATTACTTTGATGTTTACGCCCAATTTACGGCAAAGTCTCTAAGGCACATGATAGTATAGTGATTGTGGGCTAAACTCACAACTAGATATGAAGTCCAATTTTCCACTGCATTCAGAGACGTGTGTGTGATGTTGCAGCCTTGCAAAGTGAAGCGATGTGGTTCCTTTAAAAACAATTTTTCTCTCATAAATGTAGGATATGAATACAATGTCAGAATATATTCAAGTTTTTAGCTTGTAGATTTGTGATTATTAGTTTCTGATAAATCTACCACAGTATTCTTGAAAATTCTTTCCCCCTCTCCCCTGGCTCCAATTTCTTTATTACAATGGATATAATGAGCAGTTGTATCTGTACATCTTAATGATTTTACACATAAATGAAGAGCCGATAAAATACATGAGTATTAGCCTATAATAAAAACACTGTGAAGATAATTACAAATTTACTAAATACGATGCCAACTAGCCTCCCTGGCTTTGTCTGCTGCCACAGTGGTAGATTTGGCCGTTAACATGTCTTTAAACTCCTCATATCCTGACACAATCAATGTGCATTCTTCTGGGGAAAATATGGAGCAAGCACCATTGCGAAAAACTCTGTCTGCATGGCCGAAAACGACCCTTTCATGCGAAAGCGCACCGACCCCAATTAAGTTAACACGGGATTAACACCGACTCAAATAAGAAACATCTTATTCACTGTCATAGTACTGTTTAGCACCAGAGTAGGCGGTCAGAGTTTGTAAACCCTGAGTTAACTCTGAGTAGGTTGAATTCCCTTCATAGTACAGGTTTGCCTTCTATAACAACAGGGTTGGGAAATGTCCTCTCATTGGTTGTACCAGCTCATGTCCTTTTGATAACTAAATATACACCGATCAGACATAACATCATGACCACTGACAGGCGACGTAAAAAACACTTGTTCCCATGGAACCTGTCAGTGGGTGTGAGTTAGACTGCAGTAAGTATACTGTAGTGAAAGGGTCTTCCACTGTGGTGTTGTGTCTAAACTGATTGTTACAAAGCAAACTGCGGCAGATCCGTAATAACGATAGCTGGCTGCTCCTACCTTGAATCAGGAGGCTAGTATAAACAAAACATTTGCTTTGTACTGTTTTTTCTTGCAGGCTATAATCAACACTGACATAACACTGGTGGTACACAGGATAGTAGGCCTACCATTGATTGCATCAGCTAGTTAAGTAATGTGGAACGCCAGTATTTTGCTCTGGATAACGTTAGCAACTGGCAATAACACTCCGTAATAGACTGCACTGGCAAATAGTTAAACAATTTAAAAATAATGTTTCTCAATGTAAAATTGCAGAGGATGTTGGTATTTCATTGTCTACTGTACAACATATTACTAAAGATTCAGAGAATCAGAAGAGATCTTTGAAAGCAACGGTCAATTCCGAAAACCAGTATTGGATGGCTGTGATATTCGGGGTGCTTAGATAGCACTGTATCAAAAACACACACGATTCTGTAGTGGACATGACTGCATGGGCTGGGGAACACTTCCACAAACCATCGTCTGTGAACACCGTTCGTCACTGTATCCACAAATGCAGGCTGAAACTCTACCATTCAAAGAGGAAACTGTATATAAACCAGAACCAATCGCTTTCTGTGGGCCCAAGGTAATTTAAAATGGACTCAGGCAGGGGTGAATTGGGGCAAAAGAATTGCCTGAGAATTTGTCCCTGGTTAGCCCACTATCTGGACAAACCATTTGTCGGGCACTCTTGGTCTTGAGAGACCTTTATTCCTGCATTCTTGAGAATTCTTTTAACTTTTAAAAATTGTATTTCAAAGTATTTTATATATTTCCCCATGTTGGTTTTATGTTTTACGTAAAGCGCTTTGAATTTACTTGTTGTTGAAATGTGCTGTATAAATAAACCTGCCTGCCTTGCCTAAACATAACATTAATAATTCCAGCATCTTCAACCAAATCCAGTTGCCCTTGACTTTAACCTTCGTTGGATAACTATGACCTGGATGACTGAGAATCTTCATAGAAAACATTAATAAAACTGCAATACATTTCCTTGTATTTATTTCACAAAAAAAAAAGAACAAAATACACAATGAAGGGCTCATGTTAGCTGCATTACTGATGTATTCAACTGGTATAAACTGATGCCAAAAATGTAAAAACCTCCAAGTGTGCAGTGTTTTATTACATATACCATCATTAGGATTAAGACAACCAGTGTAGGTTCTTCCTTTCACATTGTCAAACTTGCAGGGGAGAATAAACAGAACCAGTTGACCTGATGTTTGCTATTGCTATGCTATTTCTGCCATCATAAACACAAGTCCTGGTGACTTATGCATCTTTTTTACAATGGTCATCACAGCTCTGCTTGGTTTATTACAAGTATCTTGAATGAGCCAGCATTTGTCTTTGCAGACAGACCTGCAGGTAGCAGAGCCCTGGATCAAAAAGTAGACAGAAGACTGTAGATTATTGGAAGTCTCAGAGAGAAAAGTGTGAGAGAAGAGTGGGTCTCACTGTCTAAACATAATTTAAAGAAGATCATTTAATGAATGTGCATACTCGCTTTTCATTTTTTTAGCATGGCTTTATGGATGGCATCGCTGGTCTGTTGGTCGGTTGCTTGATTGAGATTGAAAGACCTCAACAGCTGTTGGACAGATTGCCATGACATTTTGTACAGACATACATGCCACGCTCATGATGAATTGTAATAACCGTGGTAATCACTTAATAATAATAATAAATACCTGCAAAACTAATTACAATTCCATCAAGCTATGGTGTACATTGTATGCCAATTAGCAAATGTTAGCATATCTCGGTGCAGCCAGTATAACTAGTTGACCTGAAATTGTTGTTGTTGAGTAGTTGGCCTCTAGACCTTCACAGCAGTAACTAATGAGAAATGTTTGAAAAGAAGCATGCAATTTATTCACAAAATGTCAATGTGGCTCTTTTAGTAACTATTACTAGATATTACTCATAGACACTGAAATATACAAACATGTACACCATTAAGGGACCTGACACAATCTTGTTGAAACATTCAGTTTTTAGTAAATATTGTCCAGTTGTTGGATATCTTTTGTTACTTTCTTGTTCCTTTTTATATTTTTTACTGAAAAATTTCCCCTGCAGGTTGAAAGGTTTTATACAAGAGTGATGTAACTTTTAAATTAGACCCTATCCCAGAATGCATTAAAAAAGAAAAGGGAAATTTTAAGTGTCAAAAACACTACATTTCCTGCATTCTGGTGATTCTTTATTTGTACCACGTTCTACCTTTTCTAAATCAAGGTCAATCAATAATCTTTCGAAACTACTGAAATGTGGTTAATAAAATAACAGAGTATTCTGTATTTCTATTTATTCTTTTTGCAAAATGCATTTTATGCTGTTGCATTTGTGCAAATAAAGGGAAAATACTTCACAACTCACCTTTAAACACAGACAGTACACAATGAAAGATATTCTGTATTTGAATTTCATTAGTGCTGTTTGTTGTCTGTTGAAACAACAAAAGTGCTTTGTCAGTGCAGGTGACTGGCTGTCAGCAGTTCAGAATAAATCAACGGAACATTAAACCTGGATTACTGCGAGTAAGGAGAAAAAAAAGCAACTTCACCCCTCATCTCAAAGCGTTGCCACTGTCATGTGCCATCTGAGCTCAGTGACTGGCAGAAATGTGCAGAGTGATGTCATGAGGTCTGCTGTAGGGGATAAATACACAAGCGACTCACCTGCCATTTACACCAGGGAAGAAAATCTTGAGGAGTTCTTGCTTCAACAGTGTTTGAACGGATCTTCTTCCTTCGTCCCGCTTTTTATTTCAACTAATCTGCATTCCGGACACGAGAAGCCTTTTCTGTCAAGACAAAATGTCTCAAATACGTCAGAACTACCACAGCGACTGTGAGGCCGCCATCAACCGGATGATTAACATGGAGCTGTATGCCTCTTACACCTACACTTCTATGGTGAGGAAAACTCTTACAATGTTTTAAATAGTAGGCTACATATTAATGTATGCAAATACTACTGCTGTGTGATGTCTTATGGCATTGACCTACCTACGCCTACACTGGCTGACTGACAGACTTCATGTTAAAAGGAATAATATTGAAAACAATTGCTAACTAAAGAGATATAATCTAGTTATATCACTATTATTTAATGCAGGAATAAGTGTCTGCATTACTTGGTTGTTTATCACTGATCGGTCGTTAATCACAGAGTGAGTGAGTTGTGTGCCTGACCGCTGCCTGGTTGCATAACTACTGTTTGTTACAACTGTTTTCTAGCCAAATAATGATGGGTCATGTCTCCTAATCGCTGTTTTTCTCCTCTGCCTTCGTCCCACCTTGTCCCTCACAGGCCTTTTACTTCTCCCGTGACGATGTGGCCCTTCCAGGCTTCGCCCATTTCTTCAAGGAAAACAGTGATGAGGAGAGGGAGCATGCTCAGAAGCTGCTGTCCTTCCAGAACAAAAGGGGAGGACGCATCGTCCTGCAGGACGTCAAGGTCAGTTTAGACCGGAGAACTGGTCCTGTTGTGACATGTGTCCTCACCCTGTGTCTAATGCAGATAAATGATCTCCCCGCTCCAATGTTAAAGCTTAATATAACCAGTGTTCAGTCTGCTGTAACTGACTGTTTGTCTTCTGTAGAAACCAGAGCGTGATGAGTGGGGGAGCGGGCTGGAGGCCATGCAGTGCGCCCTGCAGCTGGAGAAGAAGGTCAACCAGGCTCTGCTGGACCTGCACAAACTCACCTCTGACCATGTAGACCCTCATGTAAGTTATTTAAACAGTCTGGTGGGGTTCATCAGTACTGGTAGTAAACTGTCTGTCTTTACCAAACCAACAATTGTTCTCTCATCCTGTCCTCAGCTGTGCGACTTCCTGGAGACCCACTACCTGAACGAGCAGGTGGAGGCCATCAAGAAGCTGGGCGACCACATTACCAACCTCACCCGCATGGACGCCAACACCAACAAGATGGCAGAGTACCTGTTTGACAAGCACACCCTGGAGGGCAAGAGCTAAACGCAAAGTCCCTGGAGAGAATCTTACTGACACGCAGGCTTTAAACTAAACGCAACCTTTTTGCATCCAATCTGCTTAAGTCTGGTGCGTTCTTGTACGTTCTGGTGGTGTCATTGTTAAATGTTACATGGAAGAATGGATATTATCAGGTTCTGACTTTGCACTCATTACCTATAAACCTCCTCTTGTGTGACATTTTAACAACTGTGACTGTACCTTTCTGATCTGAATAAACATTTTGAGCTGGACTCTGGTGTCTGTCTGCATCTGTTATATGACCTGTTCATATTGACCTAAAAACTTTATGTAACTTTTACACATGATGAGAGAGATTTATGAAACATGTATTTAAAATAAGCATTTGAAATATAGGATTTTGTAATTTGTATTTGATAGGGTTGATGAAAATATTTTGTTATTTTGACACATATTTTGTGTCAAAATACTGCAATGTTTTGTAATTTGTAGTTAGCCTTGAGACCGCTAGTGTTACACCCATAGAGTGCAAGTGTTGACATATTTTAGAAAAGATTTACTCTGAAAGAATAAATGAAATAAGGTGGTGAGTTGGCTGGTCCTCAGCTGTTTTACTTTTTAAAAAAACTTTTTTACTGTTTTACTGCCAACTGAAGAACGCAGCGCATCCCACAGCTTATATACTTGCAGTGATCGCGCGCCCTTTTAACTGCAAATAGAACTGTTAAAAATTGAATGGGGGGTGTCTGTAAACATTCAAAATAAAGTGCATACCTATAAAATAACACACAAGTAATCTAAGTGGGCATTTTCCTATAAATATCCTATATGCCACACTAGCATCCAGCCAACTTCTCATCCTGCTAGCATCCAGGCTATTAACAACCAGCCTGTACTCTGGCCGGCAGTCAGCTAGCTCAGATCCAACCAGTTTCCTACCTGATCCTGCCCTGTGGCCAACTTCTGGTTGGCCAATCAGGCGGAAACATGGCCAAAGAACTTACAGTGACTAGAAGTTGAAGCTTATAGAGCTTTCTATTGCAACATTAGTGCCCAGAGCTACGCCTCCACCATTTTGGCCTGAAGGCAACGCTAGCTTGTTCATGTTTGTCTCCCTTTTTTCCCCAGCAGACTCCGCACTGTTTAGTGCATTGCTGCCTCCCACTGATGTAATATTGCCATTGCTGCTTTATCATCTGAGATCTATATCTTGCGATATATAGATCTGTGGATTTAAGCAAGTTTATTACTTTCCTATATCTATCTTTTTGAAGCCCCCTGTTGCTCAGCAGAGTTCTGTTGGAAAATGTTTCCATTCCCAATTTGCCTCATTCTATTAATAACTCCCTCCTTCGCTTGACATAAAGCGGACAATGCATTAAGACATGTTGTACTGATTCCAGGATTCCTCAGTGTTCACAATTGCCATCTCTATGCCTCCCTACTAGCATCAGACCACTTGCTAGCCCCGCAATCTCCCAGTTCCATCCTTCTCAGTTTAACATCATCATTCCAAGGCATTCACTTTATTGCCAAGCTTAGCTGCAGGTTGAATGTTGTGCAGCTTTCTCTCTCTCTTGTCAGCACTCCACTCTTGCTGCCATATATGAATCAGTATCTCACTGATGCTGCTGCTGCATTCCATCCTACCAAGTGGCACCTGCACCTCTACACTGTCCCTGGACAAACTTGCCGCAGCCACGCTATCTGCCACCTCATTACCCTTAACCCCGACATGTGCTGGCGCCCACAGAAAACCCACACACCACAACCCTCCCTCTCTCTCCACTTTAGAACTCATCATTAAAATCTCCCCAACTATATCTGGCCTAGCTAGGCCACCCTCACCCCACCCAAAGCCATTAAGGCAGATACTGAATCTGTGCACAATACAATTTTACCACCCATCACAGTGCCCAAATCTAAGCATTTAATTCTGCAGTGAATACTGTAATCCTCAGACAGTCCTCTAAACTGACAGATTTGTACATGGGGAGCACTGCTAGCTTGTTGCTCTTGCTAAGACATCAGCTGCTGTTTCCACAAAACGTGGATTCAGGTTGAAATTCAACTGTAGTGGAGATGCAGTGACTTAAATCAGTCGTGAGTAAGAACTAGTATAAATAGATGTAATTTGTTAAGCTATGAGTAGAGGAAATGTCTCCTAGCCACTAAGCTAATTTATGCAGTGTAATGAAGCAAAAAACAAACCTTGACAGTTATTGTTACTGTGTAAATATAGAGAATGGGTGACAGTGAAAACTTACAATATTATACAATCCTCACCCTTGATATTAATGTGTAACTACAGGGTAACAAGTGGACTGTCTGCATAACTTATTAGTCTTGTGTAATTAAAATAATGAAAATGAATACTAGGTTCCACTGTACCCCATTTATCCAGCCTGCCCCTTATTGGCTGCCAAAAGAATAGACCTGTTTCTCAAGTTGTTCTTATTCTAAATCATATGATGAAATAGAAGAAATGCATCATGCAGCCCTGGAGTGAAGCAGGCCGTCTGAAGGATTGATAGTATAATTTGTTTTTAATGCACTTTGTTCGTTACTATTTTAATTTCTAGTTGCACATCACAATTGAGGTAAAACATCATAATTACTTAATGTAAATACATAGAGGGGAACACATGTGTGAGCCTTTCAACAACAACAACAAAAAAGTGCATTTTATCCATGTACCTGTGGGAGTTCCTTCATATAGACCAAACTGAGCATAGGGCTGAATGGTGTCCTCTGCCCCCTCCCTAATGCATGCTGGGATAGGCTCCAGCTTGCCGTGACCATCAACAGGAGAACCAGTTCAGAAAATGTTTGCTATAAATGCTTATGTACTCACAATTAAAAGGCTTTGGAGTAAAACATCAACTGTATGTACATATTTTTTAATGATACCTGAAAGAATGATTTGGATGATAGTGTTAACTATAAAGCAAACTGTATAAAACTGACTTTAAAAAAGTGTAGGCCTATGCTCTGAATTATTAGTCTCTGTGGCCCATCTGGTTCTACCAGGAGTTAAAAAACAAACATTGAGATCTGGGTTGAGGTTTGTCCCCATGTAAACTTACATCATGTTTTAGCTTTTCCCTGTCTTTATCTTCAAATTATAGGTACATAGTACAAGGCAACATAGCCTCATCCTTATCAGACTATAATAAACCAGCAGTGACAGCAGTGAGACAGTATTCCACTTGTAAAGCTGTGCTTTATCAGTCTGGACAAGTACTTTGGTCAACATCTGTACCTGACACTATTGTCTGGATCCTACCACTTCCTGACATGGGTTATCTTTAATCTTACCTGAAAGGTTATTTTAAATACGTTGGTGAAGGTAACTTGTGAAATTTTCACCCATTCATTTTATGTTTTAGTATTAATGTATCTGCTAAGACTCAAGTAAGAATGTTGGCCAAAGAGAGCTGGATATTGAGCTGAAGTTCATCATCTCATGTCACGAGTAGTTGCTTCCTTTATAGCCTTGGGCTTAAGGTCTTATTTTGCACACAGTAAGTATGGGTGCCATGCGGGCAGGCATGAAGTTTATGAGGAAGTGGCACAGTGTTACACAGGAATTATCAAGACAGGTGTTATTCTTAATGAACATGTAGTGTGGCTGGTATGGCTGCAGTCCAAAGAGCCACCCTTTAATTTGAAAAAGGACAGGCTTTCTGGTTGAATTATTTATTATGTTACCAACAAAAGGCAACAAGTACTAGCCAATTAGAGGCAGAGTTGGGTGGGGTCATGATGTCACCTTCCTAGGGGAAAAATGTCTTCCAGGAACACCTTAACCACTGTTGCCTTGTTAGGTCTTCTCTTGCAGGTTCATGTAACTGATAGGTGGGTCCGTCCACTTGAAGTGACTGGGAACACCTGGTCCCAGTCATCTCTATTTCTAATTTAATCTATTTTGACACTTTGCTGTCACCCCATCTCGTCTTACCCATATTGTTGACATTGTATTTTTCCAGGAGGGCTTTGTTATAGGAACTCTCATGTGGTGGACTGCTTACAAAAGCTGCAGGGGAAATTGTTCATGCTGGTAAAACAAGATATCACTGTTGACCATGCAAATATATCTCATACCTCAGGGTTGCCCTGTGAAAGAGTATACACAGCACAGACACATGTAAGAAAGGATGGGCTAAAGACAGGAAGCCATGCAGGGTTAATGGTCTTAGATGCGACGAGTCAGAACACTCTTTGTTCCTCATTTAAAGCACTATAACCTGTATGCATTAACTTTATTTTCCATAAACCAGGAAACAATAACACAGAATTTGGTGCTTCAGTAAGATAAGCACTTGTCACCACAGCACAATTTACAATGTACTTACTTTATATCCCACACTCTCATGCTTGCAGAAAAGTGACTCAGCAATTTAGACAGCACCCATCCTTATTTTGTGCTGTGTCACTATTAGTCAGCCTTGTGGATAAGGAGTGTCAGGTTCAACTGAAGATTGTGCTGTGTCATTGTTTTGACTAAGCGTTTCACAGTGTCAAGGCAATCCTTCCTGTTACTTTGTTCCGTTTTGATCAGGGTGACAGTGAGAGAGAGCCGTCTTGTGACAAAGGAAATGTCTGACGGGAAGTTTACCTCAGTGCTCTGCTGGTTGGAACCAGTTTGGGAGAATTAAAAAGGAACAAGAAAGTAACAAAAAGGGAACCAATAACTAGAATGAATATGGATGGATGGAAAATGGATGTATTTGTAGTAAAAACACCCCTGAGATACTTGATTGAAACAATGATAGAGTCTACCATGTCTCTGTGATACATCCAAAAACCTGTACTTTATTAATTTATTAAACCCTCAGCAATGCCATTAAAGATAGCTATTTTAATCAAAACAAGTGACATACAGAGACACAGCCCAAAAAATGTTCATAGTCATTTCAAATTAGAGGAAATGTATAAAGAGTAACCCAAGAGATTATTTTTATTTTGTCTCATTACAAACAGGCTAACTGGCTCTATGTAGAAATTGTTGCACGTGACTTGAATGACACACAATGTGTCTTGATTAGAACCAATAACCAATAGACTCTTCACACATGTATAGAGAAGTTTTATCATTATCATTATTTGGACACTTAGTAAAGCTCTGGAGGTCTAGGAAGGATAAATATCCAAAGAGAGGAAAAACCCTTCAGATTTGGTGTATGCTGGCCCTAACTCCTCAGCCGGGCTCAATAAATAATGTTGCGTAAGTCTTGATCAGTCTCTGAAACTTCTTCATCACACCTGAAACTGGTGGTATTTTCACAACACAGGGTTTACTAACTTTAATAACTAACCAAGTTCTACTGCCTAAATGTATGGGGAAGCAACAATCCATTTAGGTCAGCTTATAAAAAAAAGACCAGCACTCAGAAAACTCTCCATAAAGTTTTCAAGAGCCTCTGAAACTGCATTGGAACAAATTACTGTTTGCAGTTGGAAGTACTTGTAGGCTACATGTGTTTTCAAGTATTCTGTTTTTCTATTTAATTATTTATTTCACATGCAAATAAAGGAAAAATTAAAACTTCTCAACTCACCTTTACACTTAAAGGTGGGGTAAACAATTCTAATCAAATACACATCTTTTTGTCAAATTCAGTGAATATCTCCTGTCTGTTGTGTGTGTGTAATGAAATACAAATCCAGTGTTTGTAACATCCCTAATAATGTACAATCTCTGTAAATGGGAAACAAAGTGGCCCACAACCCACCACACAGCACTTTTCCAGCCATAATTTGTGTGTGACCTGTAATGTTAAATGACTTTGCCATGAACATTCAGCTTGCTTTCTACTTAGCCAAGACATGCTGCTGGCAGGAGAGTTGTGTTTTTGATTTTCACTTCATTAGGTGTCTCTTGAAACACCAAAAGTGCTTCGTCATTGCAGGTGACCGTCAGCAGTTCACGAAAAAAATCATGTATGAAAAAAGCAACTGCTTTGCAACTGTCGTGCTCTGTTTGTGATTGGCCGAAATGGCTCACGTTACATCTGTCACGAGGTCTGCAGTGGGGTATAAATACACGGAGCGCCTTATCTGCCATTTACACCAGGGAAGAAAATCTTGAGGAGTTCTTGCTTCAACAGTGTTTGAACGGAACTTCTTCCTTCGTCCCGCTTTTTATTTCAACTACTCTGCATTCCGGACACAAGCAGCTTTTTCTACTTGAACACTGCTGATAAAGTCGTCGTAAAGCTCTATTTTTGTACCGTTTTGTTAATAAAAAGCTAAACGCCAGCTAAAATGGAGTCCCAAGTGCGTCAGAACTACCACCGCGAGTGCGAGGCCGCCATCAACCGGATGGTCAACATGGAGCTGTACGCCTCTTACACCTACACTTCTATGGTGAGGAAAACAACAACAATATTGTGTAATGTCATGTTTTGGTAATATATCATCCACCTGCATTGGCAGACTGACTGACTTCATGATAAAATTAATAATAATGAATGCAATTGAATTTGTGTATATTTAAGGTTTGTCACTGCTTAACTTAATAATGTAGCATTACAATATCAGCTTGCTGTTTCTGCATTAACGTTATTCGGTTGTTTATCACTGACTGGCAGGTTACTAGATAAGGAATGTTTTCACTGAATAAAAAAATGCTGTGTCATGCTGATGCTGCTTGTGTTGGTTTGTCAGTCAAATTCAGTGCTTGTCTAGAAAGTGTATTTCTAGTACTGATTGTAACAACCCTTAGCCAAATGAGGGGTCATGTCTCCTAATTGCTGTTTTTCTCCTCTGCCTTCGTCCCACCTTGTCCCTCACAGGCCTTTTACTTCTCCCGTGACGATGTGGCCCTTCCAGGCTTCGCCCATTTCTTCAAGGAAAACAGTGATGAGGAGAGGGAGCATGCTCAGAAGCTGCTGTCCTTCCAGAACAAAAGGGGAGGACGCATCGTCCTGCAGGACGTCAAGGTCAGTTCAGACCGGAGAACTGGTCCTGTTGTGACATGTCCCTCCTCAGCCTGTGTGGCTAGGGCAGATAAATGATCTCTCATAATAAATCTCCTGGTTACCTGAATTAAATTACTGCCTCAGTAATCATCAATATCAGAGCTAATCCTGAGCCTGGTATGAGACAGAGGGTGATTGGTAGTACTGGTGACTCAGCAAAACGTGTCTTGTGTGCATAAGGCTTAAAATATCCAGTGTTCAGTCTGCTGTAACTGACAGTTTGTCTTTAGAAACCAGAGCGTGATGAGTGGGGGAGCGGGCTGGAGGCCATGCAGTGTGCCCTGCAGCTGGAGAAGAAGGTCAACCAGGCTCTGCTGGACCTGCACAAACTGGCCTCTGACCATGTAGACCCTCATGTAAGTTATTTAAACAGTCTGTTGGGGTTCATCAGTACTGGTAGTAAACTGTCTGTCTTTACCAAACCAACAATTGTTCTCTCATCCTGTCCTCAGCTGTGCGACTTCCTGGAGACCCACTACCTGAACGAGCAGGTGGAGGCCATCAAGAAGCTGGGCGACCACATTACCAACCTCACCCGCATGGACGCCAACACCAACAAGATGGCAGAGTACCTGTTTGACAAGCACACCCTGGAGGGCAAGAGCTAAACGCAAAGTCCCAGGATGGAGCCTGGAGTGAAAATCTTACTGACACGCAGGCTTTAAACTAAACGCAACCTTCTGCTCCAGTTCCTTTATGAGCATAATTTGACATCGAATAGTCTTATCCTCAGTTGATATGTTCTGTCGCTGTTTTGTCTAATAGTGGATGGATATTAGGTTTTGACTTTGCACTCATTACCTATAAACCTCCTCATGACACTTTAACAACTGTGGTTCTGGTCTGAATAAACATTTTGAGCTGGAGTCTTGTCTGTCTGCATCTGTTACATGACTTGTTCATACTGACTTAGAAGCTGTAGGTGATGTCACACAGCGTCATGAATCAACTGGATGGCTCCCTTTTTAGAAGGGACATGTTTGACTTTGTAAATTGAAAATGGCTTAGTCGGGTAATTAGCTTGACTTTTATACAGCTTGTAATTGTTGCTAAAATGTATATAGTTTGTCCTCTAAAATGTTAATACCACATCTAGAGGCAAAGCTTTGCCCGAGTGGCGGCAGATCTGTTGTACCAATCATGTTTGTCTGGATCTTTAGTGTTCAAGGAATTTGCTTTGGCATTAAGGTGCTACATGCAGACCTGTACAGCATACAGGTACCCATTCTTCTAATACCATGTCACACCTGGCTCAAAACGGAACAATGAGAGAAACTGCAGGAAAGGTACCATTACTTTATTTTAAACTAACAACTTAATATTCAAAAAGTCATGAGGTTTGATAATCTGATCAGTCATGTCAGCAGGTATGCATGCTTGAAGGAATAGTGAGTGTTGTATGGTGAAAGAAACAAGAGCATGGAGCATAGGGAACAGGGTTTCCCTCCTCTAGCCCCCAGTGCAGAACAAAAGACACGCACTTATAGTGGAGAACACCAGGCCTAGGTGGCTCCAACAACTGATTATTTTAACCACGCCTCCTGACATCTGCAACACAGGATACAGAGACAGACATCCCAGCAGCCAAAGATGGGGACGTCGCGCCATATATTTAAAAATAAAACATTCTGATCATAACCTTAATATTTTCAGTGGTGTGGTATTGTAATGCACCATCGTCATCTTCTGAGTACCGCACCAAGGAACACTTCAATCTTCCACCCACCATCAGCCTAAATTAACTATTTGGTTTTGTAGACATGTTTAAAGAAATACAATTTCATTTTTGTTTAACCCTTTAGCCTAACTCTAATAGTTTTGGAATTGTAAATAGTTTAAACTTCCTGCACTGATATTTACCTTGGAAGACCTAGGCACTGAATGTACAGCAACAAGGGCAACCTTTCATAAACTGAGTGCACAGTGAATCTATTTCACTGTCAGTCAGCCACAGATATTAAATTGTATCCCCACTGCCAAAGTCCCATTTCTCAGGGGTCATGACCTCAAGTTTATTGTATAGCACATTTTAATTGCAAGGCAATTCAAAGTGCTTTCCATAAAATATAAAAGCAACCAAGGAAAATGTAGAAAGACATTTAAATGCAGTAAAGAGTTCAATGGAAAATACAAACAAGATAAAACAAGGTATTAGTAACAGTGCAGCATAAGCTATTAATCACTGTTACAGTAGTCAAGTTGAAGATAAATGCATGGACACACGTTTTTCCAGATCCTGCTTAATCCTTGAAATATTATAATATAAATATTTGTAATTGTCTTAATGTGGCTGCTAAAATTCAGGTCATTTCTGGCTCGGTTTATGGTTTTTAACACAAGAGCTCTGACTTATAATCGTTCTTCCTTGGCACCAAAAACAATGACTAAAGTTTTATCTTTGTTTAATTGAAGAAAATTCTGCCTCATCCAATCATTGATCTGTACAATTACAATTACAATTGTTACTCAGCGCTTTTATGGGTTTATAGTCCCCTGGTGACATGTTTATGTAAATCTGTGTGTCATCTGCATAATAGTAATCAATATCATAATAAAAAGAATAAATGATTTTTCTTTAATAAGAGTGGCTTGATGACTGCAGGCTTTCGGGGCCTATGGGAAGAAACCTGAGAAAATAAATATGTTGACAATTTGTAGAAGATCTGAGGCCATGCAATTAGAAACATTTTTGAACACACTCTGCCCTTAACATCAAGGCAATTCTCCATGGAGATCTTTTCTTATCAGAGACACCTTCACCTTAGTGGGTGCAATGGCATCAATAACATTTATCATTTTAGAATTAGAAGTTTCTACAAGCACATTGACTGAGACCCAAGAGAGAGTGGGTGTGGAAGAGAAAGCATGAATAACTATTTCACTGGTGTTTTCAGTGATATACCGTTCAGTGATTACCTGAAAATTTGTGCACATTGAGATAGCACTCTCAAAGAAAACACAGGAGGAGAGCAACATCAGCCACCACACCCTTGGAAATGTTCAGACCCTTGGAGATGCAGATTATAGACAGCAGTTCAGCAAAGTCATCAAAAAAGGTTGCACAGTATTTAGGTGGCCTGTAGATATTTAGATATAGATATAACTTCAGAAAAAGAATTCAACTGAAAAGACACATATTCAAAAGAAGCACAATTTCCATGAGACATCTTCTTGTTTTGGAGGGAGTCATTAAACGAAATGGCCACTCCACCTCCTTTCTCATGCACTCTAGCTTCGCTCATAAAACTGAAGTTGGGGCAGACAAGATAAGATCAGCTCGTTCTAACAAAGTTTCAGTCAAAAACATGAAATAAAGAGTGTGCTTAATGATTAAATCACTGATTAATAATGTTTTCTTGCCAAAGACCTGATGTTTAATAAAGCTACATTTTGAGTTAAAGGCATTATCTGCCCCATTTTTGCGACAGGCTGTGGCTGACAGGAATGGATTCTAAATAAGCTGGGAATAACTGGGAAGAGTCACGAGTGCCATTTACCTTGTCTCCTGGACCCAGCAGATATCAGTTAGGGCTTGTGGTATTTTGTAAACAAATAGATGCATGTGTTTTTTAAACCTCAAACCCTGTGTGTCAAGGTGAACGCTCTCTGTAACTGACAGCTCTGTTTGGTTGGTTGCTGTCCAGGGTCCTGCAGAGCGACTCTACTGTAAGCACTGAACTACTTCCAACTACAACCAACTCCTACGAGCTCCAATCACAGAATAGATAGGTCTACAGGAGTTTACAGAAAATTTCAACTCATGCTTTCTTTAATTTTGCTTATTTCTGGAATGTAAATGCAATAATCTTAAGACATTTGTGTTTCAAATATGACGACAAAACCTGCACCCCTCCACTGTTTCAGCAGATTAGGAGTCACAGGGAGACACTGAGCTGGTACAATGCAAAGTATGGACACCTTAGCATAAAATTTAGACTGGTAGATGGTTATTTGCCAAACAAGTGGGGTAAAATAATTCCACCGACTGCAACGCAATTCTCCCTGATTGGTATTTGATTCACTTGTTCAACAGACGCTCTTCAGTATCTGACAAACTTTTTAAAGCTGGACCATGATGTAGGAAAAATGTCCCAGTGATTTAGAGAGAAATACAATTTAAAGTCACAGTGTTAGATAAATTGTCTCTCTAAGATGAGAGAGGGATATTGTGGAGATTAACACAGAAGGGGGGGTACAAGGACATCTCATTTGGTACATTTGGATGCAAAAAAAGTAATAATACAAAGAACCTAGAGGGGCTGAGTTATATGCTGTTTTTCTTTGTATGATGGTTTATATTAGAGTAGGTCATTAGTCATCAGTTCATTCGTTCCCATGGTCAAATTGGTGTTTTAAAATATATTATTCCAGACAAGTAGTTGAAAAGATATTTTCTGAAGATCCAATTATTTCAGATGTATTTCCCTTTCTTTGTCTTTACCTATGTATTTCAGTCGTGCTGTAAATGCCACCCTGACCAATAGGAACAAACCAACAGGAAGGATGGCCTCGAAACTGTCAAAACAATGACACAGCACAATCTTCAGTTGAACCTGACACTCCTTTTCCTCAAGGCTGACTAATAGTGACACAGCACAAAATAAGGATGGGTGCTGTCTAAATTGCTGAGTCACTTTTCTGCAAGCATGAGAGTGTGGGATATGAAGTAAGTAAGCCCACATTGTGCTGTGGTGACAAGTGCTTATCTTACTGAAGCACCAAATTCTGTGTTATTGTTTCCTGGTTTATGGAAAATAAAGTAAATGCATGACAGATTATAGTGCTTTAAATGAGGAACAAAGTGTGTACTGACTCTAAGAGTCGCATCTCAGACCATTAACCCCTGTGTGGCTTCCTGTCGTTTCCTACATGTGTACACTATTTCAAAGAGCAACCCTGAGGTATGAGGCATTTTTGCATGGTCAACAGTGATATCATGTTTTACTAGCATGAACAATTTCCCCTGCAGGTTGAAAGCTTTTGTAAGCAGTCCACCACATGAGAGTTCCTATAACAAAGCCCTCCTGGAAAAATACAATGTAAACAATATGGGTAAGACAAAAGCACTTTAAAGAAAGAGTCGCGTCAGCTCCGGTCACTCCAGTGCACCGGTTTTTCACAGCAATGGCGGATCATGGAATAGTTCCCGGAAGTTAGCATCAAATGCTAGCAGCGCAGCGGAGCTGCAATAGAAAATGCTATCTGGGATGCACGTTTGAAAGGTAAGACGAAAACGATGTTATATATTATTAGCACAACTGAATTAAGTTAACATGTGCATTAAAAGATGTTAGTGGACTTCCCCCACGAGGGTGCGTGTGAGAACTGTTTGAAAAAATAAAATCATTCACTAACTAATAAACTATCTAGTAACTGATGCCAACATCAGCAGCAAAAGCTGTTAAAGAAGTTCCAAAATTTAACAATCCATAACTTTCTCAATCAAACCTGTAGCCTTTTACAAGAAAGGTTGAATTGAGAGCAACTGGACTTCTTCTGAAACGTCCAGATGCTCCACTTTTCTTGGATAAACATGACCTGGATGAATCTACAGATGTGTAGGTTTGTCTAGCCCTCTCTCTCTCTCTCTCTTGTCCTCCCTCTCTCAGCACAAGAATCACAGGGGGTTCAGTGGAGCCTCAAGATGATCTGCAGTGATGTTTTTAATAAACCAAACATAAAGCCAGTGATGTGTTCTTTCTTTGTGGAAAAAGTACCTCACATATTTTTTGTTGTTAGCCTCTTTAGTGATTGTAAGGTTGCTCCTGTTGACCTGAGTCAACTGTTTTTTCCTCCATGTCAGCTGGGAAACCAAACATTTGTACTCCTTTTTCTGACCGACTGCAGCAGCATCTCCACACAGCAC